TAAAGTTAGGGCTCCTCGAACGACGCCCAGTCGGACAGCCCGGTCCATGGTCCGCAAAGTGCTCGCAGCTGCAGATCTGGCCCTCCTTGCGCCCCTGATTCCAAGCGCGGAGGCCGACTTCTCACCGCAACCTCTGTTGGTACGGACGATTTTGGCACGTTCATTCAGCAAAACATTATGAAGTGAATACCAGTGGCGCATGTCGTGCTCGGCGAAGCCTTGGTCGAGCCGACGCCGCACGTCTGCTGCTGAGACATATTGGCGGGCAATCCCGTGGTCTTCGTAACTGACGAATCGACGCGGGCGCTTGCCTTCGGGCCCACCTGGAAGATCGTCGTCTTGAGGCGGGTTTTCCCGCGAGCGTTTCCTTCTGAGTGGAAGACTCCGAATCTTCTGACGAGGCGCGCGTGGACGTGCGACACCGGAACGGGCGCGCGAGCGCCTGCGCGAGCGACCCCAAGTAGGATGCTGTGGATGATGGCTCTCGACTTCCCATGGTTCATCGTCGTCCTCGTTGCGATGCACTCGCCTCCTAGCTGGGCGGCTTGTGGATCGGTCATGTATTACGATCGTGAACTGAGAGCCTGCGTTAATCGGCGACACGTAAAGGTGACCCTAGGCAACAGTGCCCTTTGGTGCGCGGCCTTAGGGGGGCCCGCGGGGCCCTGGCGCAACCGCGCAAGCCGAGGCCGTCGGATTGCATCAACGATCGGTGGGGCGCGCTTCGACAGATCCCTAGCGCAAGCAGGCAATTGCGGACCTCCGCCAATTCGTTCCGGGCGCCCCAGAACACCCGCCGGAGGGCTCTGCGAAGCCAGACGTAATCGGGCGCCACCGTGGAGTGTTCTGGCACTGCCGGGCCGCATCGCGACGACGTCTGACCGAGCCCGGCGTCAAGGCCGAAACCGAGCCGAAACTTGGCCCCCACGCGGCCGCGAATAACTTTCAATAGTAAAGAATTGAGTTGTAAAGCGCGGACTGCGAAAAGTTATTCAAAGTTAGTCAAAATTAGCCAAAGTTAATCAAAGTTATTCCAGGACGATGTGGGACCGGCCCCGAAGCGGAGAGCACGGTCCCGAAGCGGAGAGCACGTCGCCCGCTTGACTGGGCCCCCCCTCGCCAAACGAAGCACGCGGCAGAATGCACCGTGCGTGCGATGCGATCGATTGCGAGGGGCGCACCCTGAATCGAGCGCGCTCTGATGCGATCGCAGACTGGTGCAGCGTGCGCCGACGCGAGGCCGAGCGCACTCATCAAGAAAATCTGTCCGACCCCATTAGGGCTAACACTAAAGGTCACTCTGGCCAAGGGTCACTCTTACGTGCAGCCGAAATAAGTCCGAGTTCAGATTGGATGCGCTCGGAAAGGTCACCAGCATCACGCGGGATGCCCCGCAATGGATCGTCGTCGCAAGGTCCCCCGCATGCAGGGTTACCAACGACCTGCGGTCGGAGCATTTGCTGGAGCTCCTCCTCTGCAGCCGGCATCGTCGCATCGGAGTCCGCGGGTGACCCCGCCATTTCATGATCCAAATCGGCGGGCGCGCGGCCACCCTCGACGAACTCAATCTGCGCGGGTTGCCCCGCGATAGGAATGCCCAACCGGTCCGCCAGGTTGATCTCGTCGTGACCGACGTAGATCTCCTCGAAGAGCTCGTCGGCTGATCACTCACGGGACACACGTTGGCACTCAGATACCTCGCGGACGTGACGTGGACAGCGGCAATAGGGTTGTCTCCGGATTCGGCGAGAAGCGTTTTCCAATCGACATACTGAATGTCCAAATCGGTTTGAGCCAATTGCATCAACTGACGCCTGCCTCCCCCATCGCCCGGGGGCGCTCGTGACGAAACTGTCGCGTGCTATGGCTGATATCATATTCCATGGTTTCTCCTCTGGCATCCTTCGGGTTACCCCGGCGCCCCCTGCCCTTTCCTGAAGTGCGCCTACAGCCTCTACGTGTCCCCGGCAACGTCTCCTCGCAGTGTGGCCCCCGCAAGGGGTGCCAAGAATGCCAACGTACCTCTGCCGCGCAATCGCCGTCGTTTGCCCACGCCCTTACCTCAACCCTTACCGTGTGACCTAAACGCCCGTCGGACCCCGCGTCGTACCTTGCAAACTGGTATCTTCAAACAGCGTCTCCATCGGCGCGTGTTTCTGGCATCCTAGGAATAACCACTGCGCCTGCTGCTCTTCGGTGAGAAACACGGCACCAGCCCCCTCATCTGATGAGGTGTCGGCGTCAGTACCAGAGCCAAATGTAGACTCGGCGTTTTGCGCCGCAGAGCCGACAGAGGGTGGCGTCTTGGGCAGGGGCCGCCGTCGCCGACTGCCCCTAAGAGCGAGCCCAGGAGTCTTGCGACCCCGCAGGCTGGCCACCTTGCTGGCTTAATAAGATGGTGGCCTCCGTTGGTTGTGGACCGTCGCTCCAGATGTTGTTCGCAAGCTGCTCCGCAAGAGAGTCGGCGCGAAAGGTTCCGGCACGGTGGCCGCGGCTAAATAGACCACCGATGTTGCGAGGGGTTCGCTCAGTAAGTTAAGCGTCAGACCTCATGCACTCGAATGGAGAATCAAACTGTTGCTGGGTCCTTGGCATTCGGTGGTTTAGCGGTTGTAGTAGTTGCTGTGCACGCGACGTACCAACACCCGGACCTCTGAAACATATAACTGTTAGGATACGGTAGTTGGGAAAATTGAAGCCCGCGGCCTCGGCCTCAAAACGCGCCGTCTCTAAGCCCGCTCCTCCGCATGGACGCGAGGTCGATGAGAGCCGTTCCCGGATTCAGTTGGCGCTCCTCCTCTAGGTGCTCGAACTTCGTGCTGAGGAGGAACAGGATGTAGGCGATGCCGTCTGTGTGGCGACCACCAATATTCACGCCAAAGTTAATGATTGCGGAAGGTACTCCCATGGCCATGGTCCTTGCGACTCCTCCCAGGCCACGCTGTAATACCGCGGCCTGTTGAGAGGGCTTCACGTTGCCTGTAGTCACGTTGATTCAAGTGTGTACCTTGCGAACGAATTCGCGGGAAGGTATGTTACCAGCAGGGTCCCAGTGGGGGCCGGCGGCTGTTGTACCGTAGTAAGGATAGTCCCAGAAGTAGGAGATCCTCGCGGGAGCGACGGGCCATGTCAAGCGAAGATTTTTTTCGGCTTCGATAGCAAGTAGAGTGCCTCGCGCTTGGGCGCAGTCATAGGTTGGCGGCCGGCCGTTTGAGCACAAACGGCCGCGGACAAACGCTCGCTATCTCTCGCCTTTGCAGCGATCTCCTTTAGAATTGTTTGGCAATGTGTTGCATGGTGCGCTACATGTTTCCGAATGTTTCCCTGTGCGCCAACGAATGTTTCATGTGATATGTGTGTTCTGCTTCCGCCCTGAAGCCGTCTCCGCAAGGGCATCCCGACCTGCTAAGCGACAAGTGTCGGAGGCCCGCCGAGGTAAATAAGGACACAAGGCAAACACAGACGAGAAAAACTCGAACAAGCGACAGCGAAACCATCGTAATATGTTGCGCCTCACGCGTTGATATAATTGCTATACGCTGTTGGCTTATGTATGTGTTATTATGATTTCCCAATGTGTTTATCGATTGTCTGTGGTTTATGGTGTGTTGTCACATGGGCTCTCTGTTGTGCTCATAATTCCGCTTTGTATATTCCCACTGTGCTGACTCGTTGCATGTTGTATGTGTATCCCTGCGTGTCGCCATCACATGTGTCCTTGTTTCTCCTGCTTTCGCCACGAAGCCCGTCTCCGCAAGGGAGCCTCCCGATCTCCTCATGGGGGAAATGTTCGGAGAGCCCGCGCGATCTGCCCCATCCTCATTGGGATCCTGCCGCGGGCAATTCGCATTCCGAAGCAATCATCCAGAGGCCCGGATATGACTCCTTCTGCTGGGAACCGTCCTACGGGGCTCACCGCGTCCAGAGGAAGACGCATTGAACTTGGGACCTGATCCAGTCCAAATGTGATCACGTCGCAGAGCAGGTGCGCATTCAAAAGCAGATGACTGGTGTTTGGGGCCTGTCCGATCATTATTGGAGCCGCACTGCGTGGTAATATTCAGTCGGAAGTTTTCACCTGGTCGCTGGGACATGCCCAAGACACGTTGCATATGCGTATATATACATACATACATACATACATACATACATACATACATACATACATACATACATACATACATACATACATACATATATATATACATATACATATACATTTACATATACATATGCATATACATACACATACATACATACATACATACATACACACATACATACATACATACATACATGCATGCACATATACATACATACATACATACATACATACATACATACATACATACATACAAACATACATACAAACATACATATGTGCGTGTGGTGTGAACATGTGGTATACAGATGAAATGTTTCGGAGGCTGGCATTTGCTGTATGCCGAATGGAACCTTGCGGGGCGATTGAAAACTAGGGGTTTCTGATGGGGGGGTGGGATATGGCCCAAGCGTGCTGCGACTGTGCTGTGCAACTGTTGGCGGTCGAAGAAAAAACTTGGAATCTGTATGCAAATGCGGAAAACGTCGACCACCAGTGAGTAGATGAGAGCACGGCGGGCGTGGCACGCCGGGCAGCTGTGTGTAGCAACGGCCGCTCTTAACAGAAGAGTAGTTGCAACACTCAGCGAATACGCAATAATCAATCAGTGAGCACGCAGTGGCGAGCCAGTGAACCGCAAACGCAGCACCGAGCAGGCTTCTCAATTTCCTCCCCTTCAGAAGAGAAGGGGAGGGAGGGATGCTTTCCCTCCCCCGCCGGCTGCGGCAAACGCAAGGTCCCGCCCTCCCGCCCCTCCCCCCTCCTCCAGCATCTCCTCCCCCAACACCTCAACATTTTTGTCAATTCCCTGTTTTCCTTTTTTGCCTGATCGTCATCATCCCCCTCCTTTCCTCTTCCCACCCTCCGCATCCCCCCCCCGAGCATATGGAACGGAGACCTTCCGTTGTTACTGGGGACAACCCCCGCGCCCTTCTCGTCGAGTTCCTGACCGAACAACGTGCGAAATCAGGGAGGCGGATGGGGAAAACGAAGCAAACAAACACGAACAGGCACAAGAAACGGATGAAGAGGGCGAGGATACATACGACAAGGGCAAGGACAACACACAGGACGACGACTGCGGAAATGAGAAAAACAACGACGAAAATAACCTCAAGGGCGACGGCCTGGCAACCTTCGCATCGCCATGCCGCCGGGGCGCAAACGCAGCCTGCGCGCGTCGCAATAGGGCGCGGCAGTAACGCCACTGCGCGCACCTCCCCTCGGTGCGAGAGCAACACCTTTGTGCGAGCGCGCTCCCGCACGCCTTCGGGGCTGCGAATGAGAGCAACACAACACACCCCCGCCCCCAGCTGGGAACCCCATTCCCGACTTGGTGATCCAACGGGTCCTGGCTGCGGGCGAAGGCGGCTTTTTGGCTGCAGGTCGGGGATGGGGGTCCTGGTGGGGGCGGGCGGTTTTGAGCGGGCCACGCAATCCTGAGATCCGACGTTGCAGAGAAATTGCGACTTCGTGATCGACCACGACCACAGCCCTAGACCCCAATCGTTAAGCGTCATTTTTCGAGCCGGATCGATCTGTGAGGGTTCCGGGGGCCGACACCGGGCAAAAACGTCCGCTGTGGAAAAATGCGACGCCTGGACATCTCCCGGCGCGCGTCTTGACCAAGATTTCGAAGCGAATCCAGCCGCGGCGACGAAGTCCTCGCGCGATGCCCACAAAATCCGAAGAGAGGGAAAGGTCGCCGTTTTCCATTGAGTGCGAGCGCCTTCCCGCGCGCATTCGGGCCGCGAAATCGCGCGCCTCCGCATCTGGCCTGGGGCACTTCACCTTGGCAGTCGTCCGCGGCGAATCAATAGTAAGCGACAATTCCCATGTCCAGCTACGCAGTGGATGGCCATGTCGAAGTCGTGGTCACACAAGGGCACCGCCCAAGTAGCTGTGCAATTCGTTGAACCTGCAGAGACACCCACCAGGCGGAAACGCGAGCACTCCGCGCCCCGCCCCCCGCGGGCGCGGCAGCGAGTGCGCGCGCGCGCCTGGCCGCGGGCTGCGGGCGGGAGGCGTCGTAGTGGGCCAGCGCCTGGGCCCCGCGCGGGCTCGGCGTTCTGTTGGTGGGCGCGCTGCTAACGCACAGCCACGAACCTCCACAACACGAGAGACTACACACAAAGATATACAATCACCAAGCGCTGGCAAACCGGCCGTACATGACCCGCGACTCAGTTGGCGTCGGTGCGCATCCCAACGGGAGCAAGTCGATGTCCGCCCCGGAGAAGTTGACCGTGCGCTCCTGGCGCAGCAGCCCGCGTCGCGCAGCTGCTGCCCGAAGCCAGCCCGCGGCCCGCGGCCAGCCTGCCACGGGCGGCCCCGCCGCAGGCGCGGGGCACAGCGCCCGTCGCCCGAGGTCGGCGTCGCCTGCACCAAGGGGGGCGGCGCCCCACGAATCATGGGAAACCCAAGGCAAGTGGTCATACTTCTTCTCCTCCTCCTCCTCCTCCTCCTCCTCCTCCTCCTGCTCCTCCCTCCTCCTCCTCCTCCTCCTCCTCCTCCTCCTCCTCCTTCTCTTCTTCTGCTTTATAGTACGATGCGACTTCTTCTTGGTAGTATTAGTGTTATCCTTCTTCGTATTAATAAGAATAATATTATGCTTACTTGCACGATGCGTGTCAGCACTCTGCTTCTTAGTAGAATCAATAATATTATAGCCGTATGGCTATTCATATTTATTTCGAAATATTCATATGAATACTCTGCTGGGTTGTATTCTTCTGAATCGTAGTATTATGACTTTCTATTAGTAGTATTACTACTTGTGCGCATTTTCTTCCTGATATTAAAAATATGATGCTTCTTCGGCCTGTTATTACCCGTATGATTAATCATCCTCCTCCCCCTCCTCCTCTTCTCCTTCTCCTTCTCGGGGGAAGCGGGCCCTGGACCCAGGGGCCCTCCCACAAGGCGCGCTCTTCATCCCGAGCTGTTCTCTGACGGTCCCGGGGCCCGTGGAGGGCCCCGGGAGCCCGAAGTCGGTATTCTCCCAGCGTCGATGGGCTTCCCCAAGTTCGGAGCCATGGGGAGCCAAAGGCGCGAGGGAGGTCGGCTTCTGGGGAGGCGGAAAGGGGGGCTCCTCAGACAACGCATCGCCCGCCCGGCCTCCTGGGAAGCCGTATGAAAATCCTCCGTGGTCTTCTGGCAAGGCTTGCGGATGCCATGACAATGGACACCCCAACAGTCCTATCATTGAATTTCTTATGTGTTTAAGATGTCGGATCATGTTCTACTCACATGGTTGAAAACATGTTTAACATGTGTTAGACATCTGGAAACGATTTGGCCGCATGCTCCCTCTCGGTTGACCGTCCTCCACAGAGCACGGCCCCTGCCTTCTGAGAAGCCCCTTCCGCCTGCTTAAATGGCCGCCCCCCCGTCGCGCCCCCCTCCTGGCCATCGCTCGGACGTCCATTCCCTGTTGTGTTTGGTTTCGTGCGTGGCTCTTTTGCCACATGATCAAGGATGCTCATCGATAGTTCTCGCCGAAGAAAAAACGCACACGTCCCAGCGATGCCAAGCCTCTTGTGGGGAGCCGCCCACGGTGGAGCCCGCGAGGTCCCTCGGCAGGGGCACCGTGGCGCTCCTGAAGACAGCCGTCGCACACAGGCGCCTCCGAGGCCGTCCCTTTTTGGCTCCTTGGGGCCCTCGAGCCGCTCGTCGGGGCACCGTGGCTCTTCGGATCGGGCCCTCGTGCGAGCGTCCTTGGGACTTTCCCTTGGGGCCTCAGGCCCCCTGGGGTTATATTGCCCCCATCGTACTTAAAGACCACATCCCAGAAATAGTTCCGAGCACACAGAAAAGTGTCGAAACAGTGTCGACTGAGTATCGAAACAGTGTCGGACGAGTGTCTCCCAGGGACCGACTCGTGAAAACCCTCGAGCTTCGCTACTTTCTTGTCTGGCGATCAAGGCTAAGGTAGGTTGGAAACATCATAACCCTAGGGGAGTTCCCGCCAGGGTCGCTCGCGGCGCGACCCTGATCCAGCCTTCGTGCGAGCGCCTCTTGGCCAGCTCCCGCCAGGGCGGCAACGGCGCGCAGCCAACAAGCGGCGGCGAACGGCAGGGCGGAGACCTCATCCTCGTCTCCTCGTCGTCCTCGGTCCCTTCCTACGCCCCATCCTCCCCCCCCTCGGCTTCTTCTCCTCCTCCCACCAACTCACGCACCCACCCCCGCATTCCCCACCTCCTGTTGCTGCTCTTCCGCCCCATCCCTCCTCTCCTCCCCCTCCTTGTCCCATCCCTTTCCTTCCCCTCCCTCTTCCCCCTCTCCTCCCCTTCCTCCTAAACATCTGACGTCGTGATTGGTCCAGAACTAAAGTGGCAACCAAGAGGTCTGAACCACCTCCTGGGGACGGGCTTCTCATCCTGAGTTGCTTTCCCAATCACCCGTCAGTCGGAAGAAGTTGGCAGAACCATGGAGTAGGAACGAGTTGGAAGCAGATTGGGCTTCCGCCCGCCCCCTGAAGAAGAGGGCAGAGAGAAAACTGTTCGACTCTTGAAGTGGGCAGGCGGCGAAAGTATAGTAGGATATGGGGATCCGAACAGACCTACTCTCAACGGCGGGCGTGTAGGCTTGCCGCAAAGGACCTTCTTTGCCTCTGGGAGAACCCATGGGAAACGGGCCTGCGTCGGCCGGGCCTCGCTCGAGCTCCTTGGCCTCTTGCTTCCCTGACTGCTCTGGAATGGACCTAGCCCAAGCTCCTCCTCCTCCTCCCTCCTCCTCCCTCCTCCTGCTCCTCCTCCTCCTCCTCCTCCTCATCCTTCTCCTCCTCCTGCCTGAAAGTTATTTCCTCCTCCTCCTCCTCGAGAAGAGAGGATGGCGGGAGACGGCCAGGTCAGGCCCCGGGCACTTCGCCGAGAAATAAGCATTGCCTGAAATCCTTGGTCTTGTGTGCGTCCTGTGTCCGGAGAGGCATTGCGCAGGTTCCCTGGTGTTCGCTCCTTACTGAGTCGAAAAAGGTCTTGTCCGGAACCATTGGTCTTGTCGTCTTACTGCTTTGAAGAGGCCCCAAGCAATGCCACGTACCGCCAAGCAACGCCAAGCAATGCCAAGCAACGCCAATCAACGCCACGCGAAGCCAAGCGGTGCTAGACAACGCCAAGCAACGCGAAGCAACGCCAAGCAATGCCTAGCACGCCGAACAACGCCAAGCAGAGCCAATCAACGCCACGCAATACCAAGCAACACTTACCAACACCAAGCAATGCAACAATACGCAAGGCAACGCGATACCAAGCAGAGCAATGCCATTCAGTGCAATGCCGGTTAGGAACAACTCCCCTTCTTGGGGTCGCGCTGGGTTCCTCTGACGGCCCTGGGGCCCCGCAGCGGCCCCGGAGCCCGCAGATTGCAAGAGGCCCTTCCGTCGAGATTTCTCCAGGGCGCGAGGACGTCGGGGCTCCCTCCCCTTCCCTCCTAGGAGGAGGAGGAGGAGGAGGAGGAGGAGGAGGAGGAGGAGGAGGAGGAGCAGGAGGAGCAGGAGGAGGAGGAGGAGTGCCTCCCCCTCCCTCCTCCGTGCCACCCCCTGCCACCCACAAGGAAACCCAAAACTGCCAGTACTCGCCGCACCTCTCCAGGGGTGCGCTCTGACCAGAAGCTCGAGGCGAGTCCGAGCGTGGCGACGAGGGCCCCCCAGGGAGGCCCGAAGAGGCGGAGACGGAGCCGGGGCAGGGGATCGCGGTGGCCTCTGCCCCCCTCGGGGCTCATTAAAGAGGACGGCGCCCGCGCACCGTGCCACGTTCAGACTCCCGTCAGGCCCCGCTCGAGCGCGGCACCAGGGCCGAACCTAAACGGCGTTCTTCGTTTTCGTTTTGCTTTCGTCATCCCTCGCGTTTGTCTCGAATCTGCCTTTCCCGCAAAACGAAATCGAAACGAAAACGGCCCACGAAATCGCCGAAAAAACACCGTGTAGGCCCAGCCCTGCGCGGCACGGTGCATAGCTCGTCGGCGCCGAGGCCCGACCTTCGGGTTGAAAATCGACGACGCCTCCAGAGACGCCAACGCGGCACGGCGCATGCAGGTCGTCCGCAGAAGAGGGAGGAGGGGGGGGCGAGGGGGCGAGGGAGGGGGAGGAGGGAGGGGAGGAGAGGTTAGGGAGGGGGGTCCTAACGAGGGGGAGCGAGGGAGGGGGAGGGAGGGGGGCGGGGGGGAGGGATGCCCTAACGAGGGTGGCGGGGAGGTGGGAGCGAGGGGCCGGGGAAAAGGGAGGGAGCGAGCTCCCTGCCCCCCGCTCACTTCAGCCCCCTGCCCCCGGCAGCAAGCGGCAGGCAGTCGACAATCCCGCGGGGCGCGGAGGCGGGGGCGGCTCCTGCGCGAGCGCAGATTCGAAGGCGTTCATGTGCTGGTCCGACCACGACTGGGACTGCGCCTGGGCTGGGACGAGGGCGCCAGGTGACAGAGAGAGAGAGAGATATAGAGAAGGACAGAAAGAGAAAGACAAAACAGAGGAGAGTATCAGAGCGAGGAGAGAGAGAGGACTATACAAAATCGGGCATCTAGCATTACACACACATATATCTGTATACATATATATATATACACCTAGAGTTTGCTCTCCTCCTAATGCCGAACAATGCGAGAGGCCGCCACTCTGGGGCAGCACCGGCACGGAGGAAGACTAGCAACTGACTGCATCGGTTCTTGCCCGGCTGGATTGTGAGCAAGACTGAACGGGGCGGAAGCGGCGGGAACGATTGTTATACAGACAGCTGTTTAAAGAACCTGGATTTCGCATTGCGAGAGAAACAGTTGATCTACAACCGCGGACTTTCCATATCAGAGCGGCCTCATTCACCGGCTTAGAAGACTTACGATCAGGTGCGAGCACGTCCATCTACAATCCGCTCTCCTCTTCATGCCGGCCAGCTGTCATTTCGAGAGAACGATGCAAGAGGCTGCCACTCCCGGGCAGCATAGGCACACAGGAAGACCAGCAACTGCTTGCATCGGTTCTCACCCAAACCACTCCAGCAAATACAAGTCAACTGAACTGGCCCAGGTCGAATTTTCTAGCGCAGAAATCCTGCTGGGCCCAATTTAGGTGCGGCCGAGACCGCTGAGGCGATCAGTTGACGTCCCCCGAGATGCTTGTCCGGAAATTAGACCAAAAATAGGAAGCACACACAAGGATGGATTCATATGTGCAACGTCCGGAGACCATGACGCTGGATACGCCTGCGGCAGCCCGGGGAGTGGCCAGCCACAGGAGGTCCGAAAGCTGAAAAGACATGCGACCACTTGCCATTCCAGCTCCCGCAAAGGCCAGCCACGTCATGCGCATCCAACGTCCTGGTACAGACCAGATGCCTAGGGACCCGTCACTCCAAGACCCAGAGGGGCAGCGGATGTGGATGTGTGGGCCCTCTTTATTGAAGGTCAGTGACTGCCCAGATCCACCGTCTCCTAAGATCCTGTCCATCATTTTCCGAGGTGGTAGCCATGTACAAAGTTCCGGCCTCGGAGCCGGAGAGCCCGTCAGGCTCGGTCGCGTTGGGTCGGGGAGCTCCTCGGGCAAAGGCCTGGGCGACCAAACTGGCCACGGGATGGCGATGCTCCCACGGCCCAGCCAAGGGTTTGGGACCCTGTGGCTCTGTCACAGGAGGTGGCAGGACCAGAGTTGCAAGGCCAACGGTAAGAATAGAATCCCACATGTCCTCCAAGCGCAAGTCATGCAACGGATATTGCTTCCCTCTTCGAAAACCTCCTTTTCCCCTGTTCCTGTTTGGGGAGGGGTGTGCGCGTCACCTACTCCCCTGCCCTCGAGTTTTGCACCCCCCCCTCCCCACACACACACTCCTGCTCACGCTCCCGCTCCCCCCCCCGCGATGTGTAAAACTACCCTTTCGGGCCCAAGATGGCTCCCGACGCCCCAAGATGGCCACCGAAATTGTTCAAAATGAATGGAGATGGTTCATGGTAGCCTCCGGCATACCTCCGAGAGGCCCCAAGATGGCTCCAAGTGCTCCCGGAGCCCCCCATGGACTCCCCCAAGAGGCCACTGCTTGACATTGTTACATGCAATTGGTACCATTGACGATGTAAGGGTGCAGTGTGAGAACCTGACCGTTTCGCAATGCGCATCCACGTTCAGAAAAATGTGCGGCCGCATAACTCAAACCTTCGACGTCATAACTTGTTCCATCCGTGGAACCCAGAGCTCTCGACCACTGTTCTCAGGGGCGGTCTTTCAGCGCGGATCATTCCTCCAACGGTCTCCAAGGCCGGCAGAGGCCGAAATGACAGAAACTGCCAGGAACTACAAAGATAATCCGCAGGCCTGGACAACTTTGCAAGAGACGACGACGACGACGACGACGACGACGACGACGACGACGACGACGACCACGACCACGACGACAACGACGACGACGGCGAGCGGCAGGGCGCCGGGGCGCTCCGCGACGGCGGGTCGAAGGGCCTGGCGGCACTGGCGGGGGGGCGCGCCCGCGGGCAGGCGGAGCGCGCCCGCAAAAGCGCGAGGACGGCCAGGGAGCTCGTGTGTCAAGTCGCTCGGACGTCCATTTCCCGTGCATTGTTCGGTTTCGTGCGTGTTTTTTTTGCTCGATGGTCTGGGCTGGTCCTCGATGGTTCTCGCCGAAAAAAATGCACACGTCCGAGCGATGCCAGGGCGTTGCCCCAGTGGGGGGAGGCGGGGCTGCTGGGGGCTCCGGGGAGTGGCAACGCTTGGGCGGGAGGGGACACGTCGAGGCGGGGGTGCGCTGCGATCGTCGCAATGTGCGCGCAACCACCAGCATGTGGGGGAGGGGGTCCAGACCCCCCCCCCTGGCCATCGCTCGGACGTCCATTCCCTGTGTTTTTTTCGGTTTCGTGCGTGGTTTCTTCGCCAAATGATCAAGGATGTTCCTCGATGGTCCTCGCCGAATGCAAAATACACTCGTCCGAGCGATGCCAAGCCCCCTTCTACGCACGATCACGACCGTTACGCGCCGGGTGATAACACAACCCCAAACACAAAGGTTGGAGACGCCGAAGACCCCCACCTCCTCTCTGAATGGGGCCCTGGGGCACACAAATAAATAGACACGCGTATCCCAGGAATCCCCATTCTTCCATGCTTCCTGGAGCTTCGTCTTCCCACCCGCTGCCCATGGCTTCCCGTGTCCTCCTGGTGGTCGACGACAAAACTGTGTATGCGTGTTGGTTTCCCTCCTGAAGCCTCCCGGGGGGCCGACGACGCGGGCGGGGGAGGCGAGGCAGGGCGAGTGCGATCGGGGGCCTCGACCTCTCCAGCAGGTGACTCTGGGCGGCCCACACGCTCGCGCAGGTGGATGCCGGGGCCCCTCTGGCTTGCACTCTGCGCGGAGCCTGCCTGCTGCTGCGGTCGGGAAGTGTTGCCTGGCGAGCCGCCAGGGCGGCCCCGGCGACACGCTGCGCCTTGCGAGTGGGGGGCGCGTCGCTCCGCTCCGCGGGGCGGAAGGTCGGGAAGAAACTCGACGTGTTGACGCCAGGGGGCCGGGAAGCGGATGCAGTGTCGCGCCGAAGCGTGGTGGGCAAATGCGGCTCTCGCCTAAGCGCCGCGCAAATTCACATTGAACGTTTGCAACAACTCTACGGATGAAGGGCGGGTCCTTCTCGAAATGTGGTTCTCGCCTCAACGCCGCGTCACTCGACTGACAAAGTCGCAGCAGCTTCTAGTAAAGAGGGCGAATCCGTTTCAACATGTGGCTCTCTCCTTGGCGCCGCGCCCATTCGTCTTAAGAGCTTGAAGCATGTTCGGAGATGGAAGGAGGAAGTTGTTCAAATGTGGTTCCCGCCTCATTGCCGCGTACATTCAATGTATACGGTTGCGACAGCTTCAATGATGGAGGGCGGGTCGTGTTCAAGATGTGGTTTTCGCCTCAGCGCCGCGTCAATCGTCTGACAAGCTCGCAACAGACTTAAATAAAGAGGATGCATGGCTTTCACAATGTGGTTCTCTCTTTGGCACCGCGCCCATTCGTCTTAAAAGCTTGAAGCATGTTCGGAGATGGAAGGCGGGAATTTTTCAAATGTGGTTCCCGCCTCATTGCCGCGTAAATTCAAGTTATACGGTTGCGACAGCTGCAATGATGGAGGGCGGATCGTGTTCAAGATGTGGTTTTCGCCTCAGCGCCGCGTCAATCGTCTGACAAGCTCGCAACAGTTCTAGACAAAGAGGGCGAATGGCTTTCACAGTGTGGTTCTCTCCTTGGCACCGCGCCCATTCGTCTTAAAAGCTTGAAGCATGTTCGAAGATGGAAGGCGGGAGTTGTTCAAAATGTGTCTCCCGCCTCATTGCCGCACACATTCGATTCAAATAATTGCAAAAGCTTCAATGATGGAGGGTGGGTCGTGTTCAAGATGTGGTGTTCGCCTCAGCACCGCGCACATTCGACTTACAAGTTTGCAGCATCTTCAAATAGGGAGGGCGGGTAGTTTTCAAACTGTGGTTCTCACCTTCGCGCCGCGCACACTGGTCTGACGAGGTCTCCCCGCTCGTCCCCGCACCTTCGCCTCCGTCCCCGTCTCCTCCCCCTCCTCCCCCCCCCCAGCTCTCAGAGGAGCAGAGGGCGAGGATCGCCCTGCACAGGGCGGAGACCCTCCGACGCAGAAGCGCCAGAGCGAAGGAGCGCGCCCGCCGACCCTGCGCGGAGCGCCAGGTGGACCGCCCAAGGAGGCAGCCTCATCGCGAAGGGCCTCCTCGAGGCCGAAGAGGAGGCAGGTGGGGCCTCCCCTCCTCTGCTTCACGCTTCACTTCATTTTTATTGTGCACGCAGTGCATCGGACCGCGGCACACTCGCTCATGCCTCGGTCGGAAGACGACGACCTCCCTCCCTCCCTCCCTCCCTCCCTCCCAGGGAGGGAGGGAGGGAGGGGAGGGGGAGGAGGAGGAGGGGAGGGGGAGGAGGAGGAGGAGGAGGAGAGGAGGAGGAGGAGGAGGAGGGAGGGAGGAGGAGGAGGAGGAGGAGGAGGAGGAGGAGGAGGGAGGAGGAGGAGGAGGAGGAGGAGGAGGGAGGAGGAGGAGGAGGAGGAGGAGGAGGAGGAAGAGGGAGGAGGAGGAGAAGGAGAAGGGAGTAGAAGGGAGGAGGAGGAGGAACTGGAGGAGGAGGAGGAGGAAGAGGAGCTGGAGGAGGAGGGAGCCCCTCCCTCCCAGGAGGGCCACAAGGCCCTCCCGGAGCAGCGGCGGCAGCGGTCCGCCTGCGCCCGGCCGCGCGGCCCGCGGAGCTGGCCGCCGCCGGCGCCGCGCCGCTGCGCTGCTGCGGGGCGCCGTCGCCTGAGCCGCTGGAGGCCCCGCATTCCTCGAGCGAGGGGCCGTAAGAGGGGGGGGAGGAGGAGGAGGAGGAGGAAAAGGACGACAACGACGACGAGGTCGAGGAGGACGAGGATCCAGGACGAGCAGGAGTCAGATGAGGAGGCACCGTGGAAGCTCTTTTGGGGGGATGCAGGGAGGGGGGGCGGCGGAGGGCGGGGGTGCTGGAAGCGGAGAGCACGGCAGGGCCGTCCGCAGCGGAGGATTTGTCGGGGGTCGGGCGGTGGGAGGGCGTCGTCGTCGTCGTCTGCCAGAAGAAACCCTCGCAAGAAACCCAACCCTGAAAACCCGCGCGCGAGGTGCACCCGAGGGGAGGCCCGGAGCAACCGGAACGCAGCCGCTCCTTCCCTGGCTGCGGGAAGCCACCGCGCGGAGCGCGGAGCGAAGAAACCCAGGATACCCTGACGAAAAGCAGATGGGTTCTTGATGAGCGCCCCCACGGGGGGGGGGGGGGGGGGGGCAACGTTTCGGATCGAGGTTCGAGCCTCGGCATGCGTTCCAGCGACTGCGCCTCGCCGAGAGCGCTCTGGGGGTGCCCGGATCGCCCCGAACGGCCGCCTGAGGCCCGAGCTAGGACCCGAAAGCCACCAGGAGACCGCAGCAGGGGACCAGCTCAGGGAGCCCCCCGAGCCCTCGCGCTCCTCGGGCCAGGGACAACGACAACTCGGTGTGGCAGGACAGCGACTTGCTGCGCGGGTCACGATAAGAAACATCAGTTAGACGCCACGTCGCTGTTTTCCAAAAACAATGAAGGGTGGGGAGCATCGACCTGGAATCGGCGATACATCGCCGATAGATCGGCAACGGCCCCCTGGTAGCGAAACCGCACAGTCATGGGCAGGGTGGGGCTATCGAGCCCCTACCGACGATGCATGGGCGATTGCCTTGGTTATTGAATCGCTTCGCTCATTCCGCCAGCCCGTGGGGGCCTCTTGGGGGCCTCTTAGGGCCTCCAAGAGGGCTCTTGGGGGCCTCTTAGAGCCTCTTGGGGGCCTCTTGTGGGCGTCTTGGGGGCCTCCTGAGGGCTCTCGGGGTCCTCTTGGGGCCTCTCAGGGGCCTCTTGGGGCTTCCTGGAGGCCTCTCAGGACCGAGGGCTCGAAATGTTGTTTCGTGCTCCCCCTCTTGGGCCGCTCTTGGGGCGCTCTAGGGGCCCTCTTGGGCCGTCTTGGAGGCCTCTTGGGCCGTCTTGGGGCCCTCTTGGGCCGTCTTGGGGCGTCGGGAAGCCGAAAAGGTGGAAACACCCAAATCGGTTCAAAACCCACGGAAAAGCAATGATTGTTGTATCTTGGGGCCCTCTTGCCTCTTGAGAGTGCTCTTGGAGGCCTCTTGGGGCGTCTGGGGGGCCATCTTGGGCGTCTTAGAGCGATCTTGTGGCATCTTCGAGCCCTCGTGTATCATCTTGGGGGCCTCTTGGAGGCCGCTTGACCCTTCTTGGGGCTCTCTGGAGGGTCTCGAGGGCGGCGCCCAAATGGAAAACCATCTCTGATCCGACCCTGCCGGGGTGCTTCTCCTCTGGGGACCCCCAGGGGCCGCCCCCCGCGCGCGAAGTAGAAATACTGTAAAGCAGTTACCGGAGATCTTAGCACGCCTCTGGCCCGTTGGGCCGGCGAATTGTTACAAACGCCCAGGGCGTTTTCGTTTGCCGTGTTGCATCTTGGGCTCTCCACCAGCTCAAAACGCAAAAACACGAGTCGGATGTTTAGCGTTTTGATCTCCGCTTTTGTTAGCGATGTTAGGCCAGTCGCTGTGGATCATTACCTGATTAAGCGCTTGTTGCTTTCTGCTCGGAGGCTGCTCCTTGTTTTCACTGCTGTCTTCGCTCCCGCTTTTTCGTTTCTGCCGCCGTTCTCCCTCTCATGTGGACGCCCGAACTGGGTACAGAAAAAATGGGTACAGTGCCCAAAAACAAATGTTGTCCCAAACCAGCAGCGGCCGCTGTTGCACAGGCAGCCTTCTGTCTCGAGTGGACACAGGCCGCGGCGACACTGCCAGCGAGTCCTGTTCAACAGCTGGGCATTGTACCCCTTCTTTCCGTACCCACTTCGTTCGTGCCGACCTCGGAACTAAAAACACATTGTTTGTATCAAACAAAAAATCCAGGGGCCCGATGGCCCCTTGGAGGGGCAAGAAGACCATCGGGCTCGGAGGCCCGACGCCCCCGCCGGCAGCGAGGGCACGAGGAGAGCAGCAGGAGCACTGAGAGTGGTGCAGTCGGGCTCGACAAGGAAGAACAGCAGGAACAACAGGAACACTGAGAGGAAGAGGACGCCAAGAGAAGAACAACAGGAAGAGAAGAACAACAGGCACACTGAGAGGAGGAGGAGACGCGAGAGGACACAGGACCCTTCCGAGGGCCGCACTGCCGCAGAAATGCGGGAGGCACGGGTCGCGAGACACAGGACACGAGGGTGCCCTTGATTTGGCAGGGTCGACCTGCTAATCCGGGCCGACTGTAGTATGAACAGATGGAGGACTGCACGCCAGGAGAAGGAACTGAGGATGTCGCAAACAGCAGTGCTAAACAATGTAACCAACTGTTCTGAAAACGCTAAAAACTGCACCAAGAACGCCAAAGAAGTGATTCGCTGTTCAAGCAAAACGTAATGCGGGGACCGAACACCGCTAAACCATGGTTTCCAACACGCCGAATTGAAAAACGGGGTTAAAAAAACGCCCTGGGCATACCTAACAATAACCAAGGCGATTTTGCGGGACGATGCGTCCCGCCTTGAGCATCTCTCAGCCCCGCCCAAACGTTGCCCCTGATCCTTGGGGGGTCCCGAGACTGTGTGGTGACACGCCGTACGGTGACCTGGGACTCCCCAGACCCTGAGGTCTTGGCGCTGCATCTTGTCTTTATACACAAAGAAGTAGGTCGGAACATGAAGTAGGAAGGCGTTGAAAGTCGATTGGGCTCCGTCCGCCCCCTAAGGAGGACAAAAAAGGTGAAGCCACTCGATCATTGAAGTAGGAAGGCGCTTCAAGTAGATTGGACTCTGGGAATCTAGAAATATACGCTTTCAACGACCGATGGGTACTTTTGCACGTTTACTTCCACGGAGGGGGGGGGCGAGGCGAGGCGAGGCGGCGCGGGACCTGCAAAAGAACCTGAACTTCACGCAAGCTGGACCTTACAGTCAGGTCGTGGACCTAAGGAACCCCAAATTCGCTGGCCCAACGGGCCAGAGGCGTGCTAAGATCTCCGGTAACTGCTTTACAGTAGTTCTACTTCGCGCGCGGGGGGCGGCCCCTGAGGGTCCCCGGAGGAAAAGTACCCCGACAGGGTCGTATCAGAGTTGGTTTTCCGTCTGGGCGCTGCCCTCGAGACCCTCCAGAGAGCCCCAAGAAGGGTCAAGAGGCCTCCAAGATGCCCCCAAGATGATACAAGAGGGCTCGAAGACGCCACAAGATCGCTCCAAGACGCCCAAGATGGCCCCCAGACGTCCCAAGAGGCCTCCAAGAGCACTCTCAAGAGGGCCCCAAGATGCAAAAATCATTGCTTGTCCTTAGGTGTTGGAAAGATTTTGGTGTTTCCACCTTTTCGGCTTCCCGACGCCCCAAGACGGCCCAAGAGGCCCCTAAGATCGCCCCAAGAGGGCCCAAGAGGCCCCCAAGAGGGCCCCAAGACGGCCCAAGAGGGCCCCAAGACGGCCCAAGAGGCCTCCAAGACGGCCCAAGAGGGCCCCTAGAGCGCCCCAAGAGCGGCCCCAGAAGGGGAGCACGAAACAACATTTCGAGCCCTCGGTCCTGAGAGGCCTCCAGGAAGCCCCAAGAGGCCCCTAAGAGGCCCCAAGAGGCCCCCGAGAGCCCTCAGGAGGCCCCCAAGACGCCCACAAGAGGCCCCCAAGAGGCTCTAAGAGGCCCCCAAGAGCCCTCTTGGAGGCCCTAAGAGGCCCCCAAGAGGCCCCCACAGTCCGGCGGAATGAGCGAAGCGATTCAATAAGTAAGCTTCGACTTCCCATCGAAAACCTAAGGAAAACCTAAAGCAAACTGCAAAACAACTACGGAACACTGAGCCCCTCCCAAACGAAAAGGGTTTCTTCTTCAGCGCCCCAACTGTACCCGCACGCCTTTTGGGCCCCGCGCTGCTTGAAACAGGCGGCGGAAGCGGGAGGGCAGGGGGGAAATGCCGTGCAAGCAAACCTGCCTGAGTCTGAAGAGCAACGCCTCTTAGGGGTTCTCCGAGACGGTGCGAAAAAACAGAACGTGCGACGACCTCAGAATCCCCCAATCCTGAGATCATGGCGTCGCACTTTTGTTCACAACGGGCGATTCTGCGATTTTCCTTAGTTTGGGGCCTGGGGACCATCACAGATCGATCCGGTCCGAAACATGCAGCAGAAAGGTGGGACCCAGGACTCAGGTGGTGCTTGGTTGTGGTGCGCGAGGGTCTCGCAACGTCGGATCTCGAGGAAGACCGCAGCGCACGGTCAGGCACCGCACGGCTTGGGCCCCTGACCCCAGGGCTCGACCAAAACAGTGTTTTCCGTGTTCGTTTAGTGTTCGTGTTCCCTCGCTGTGTCTTCGTTCACCTTTGCTGCGCCACAACACCGTCCAGGTCGAGCCCTGCCTGACCCTGGAGCCCCGCCTAATCGCCAGAGGCGTCCTCTTGCGGTCGCTCGGACGTCAATTTCCCGTGCACTCCTCGGTTTCGTCGTTTTTGGCCCGATGGTCCAGGATGCTCTTCGATGGTCCTCGCCGAGAAAAAATGCACACGTCCGATCGATGCAAAGTCCTTAGAGAACTGCCCGAGTCCCAAACACCACATGGTGTGGCCACCGCACCGTTTGGGAGCCCTCGCGTTCCATGGAGGCGACCCGCAGGTGGGCAGCAGCGTCGTCGTCCGGCACGGGCGATAGCGGCCTGGGCGGAGGAGCGGGCCCGGCAGAAGAGGAAGAGATGTACTGATGCCGCCGCCCTTCCCCGCGTCGCCACGGCTGCGTTCGCCTCAACTAGAGGCCTCCCAGACGGGGTCGGAGCAGATGGGGTCGAAGGATCACGCCGCTTCGTCGATGGGTCACCGATGAATCGACGATGCATCGTCGGCGACGTCGGCATGGAGAACATCGTATTCACATCGAGCCGCATCGCCGATGCATCTGCGATGCGACACGATCCCCCAACCCCATCTACTCGGACCCCATCTGGGAAGCCTAGACCAACACTCTCCTCGAGAGGCCCAGGGAGTAGCGGCATCGATACTGTTTTGTGTCCCCCCAGTCCAGGGTCGGGGCTCTATGTATATACATATCTACAGCTGCTTATCGGTGAGATCGATGGGATCTGGGTTCGAGGAGATCGGTGGTCGGAGAGGTCGGGGATCGGGGAACGGTGATCGGGGAACGGGGATCGGGCATGGGGGTCGAGCTGAGGAGGACGAATAAGTTGAGGAGGATGAGCTTGGATGGGGAGGATGGGTTGAAGAGGACTGAGGTTGAGGAAGAGAAGGAGGAGGAGGAGGAGGAGGAGGAGGAGGAGGAGGAGGAGGACGAGGAGGAGGGAGGGAGGAGGAGAGAGTGAGGAGGATGGGGCAGAGGGCGCTGGTGAAGAGGAAGGGGCGGCGGCGCCGCCGCCCGTCCTGCTGGCGCGGCGCATCGAGGGGAGCCGGGGAGTGCGAGCGGCCGCGTGGCCAGACGGAGCGGCCGGGCGCTGCTCCCGCCTCGGGGCAGCTCGGGATCGGGGCGGGGCTCACGGCGGGGGAGGCGGCACGGCACGGCCGCCTGGGGCCCACGGGGTCGAGCCTGCCGAGATCCTGGAGAGCCCGCGGCGCGGGGCGGCGGCCGAGCGCGCCGCTCGTCGAGACCTGGCGCGCCCTCGGGCAGCGAACGCTTGCTGCCCACCGCCGACGGTCTGGCAGGCACCGCAAGTGGAGCGGAAGGACGGGCCGTCCCCAGCTTCGGCCGAGGGGGGAGGGGGTGGACGAGGAGGGGGAGCAGGCCGCATCATCGCCGTAGGTACGCTGAGTGGCCCGGCGACTGCCCCTGCCCCTGCCCCTCCTTTCACCTCTGAAGCCTCGGGGTGTAGGATGGACAGGAGGCCCCTCCCCCCTTCCTAGAGGACATAAGGTCCACCTCCATAATATAAAGCACCCCGACAAGCGAAGCCGTTCAGCAAACGCACACAGGCAAGGACCCGAACAGGGCAGGGCTGTCTAGCAAACGCCCAGGATCTTCTGGTAAACGCCAAGTGTCGAGGCCGGGTTGGCCTTTCCTCCCTTGACTGCCCCCCCCCCCTTGACATCGGAAGCTAGGTCCCCCTGGACGTCCGAGGGGGTCCCGCGCTGCTCGCCCGCGGTGCGCCGGCAGGTGCGCAGGGCAGCCGCGCGGACGTCGGGACGCGCCGAGGCGCGCCTGCGGCGGCAGGGAAAGCGCAGGGCACCCGGGAAGCCCGCGCGGACCTCTCGCGCCGGCCCCGGGGGGGCCCAGCGAGCGCGTTCCGCTCGAGCGCGCGGCTCGCTCGCGGGAGGCGCGCGCCCCCTGCCCGCCCGCCATGTTGTCCCCCCCCCCCCCCGCACCCGCACCCGCCCACCCGAGGGGGGGGGGTGAAGCAGTGCCGGGCGGACACCCCGGCCTCGATACTTGGCGTTTGCCAAGAGATCCTGGGCGTTTGCTGCACGGCCCTGCCCTGCTCGGTTCCTTGCCTGTGTGCGCTTGCTCAACGGCTTCGCTTGTCGGGGACCCGCCCCGCCCCACCGAGGGGGAATGTGAAGTAGTGCCGGGCGGACACCCCCCACAGGGCGTTCTCCCCGGGTAGGGCGCCCTGGACCAGCGCAAGCGTTCGGGACCCGCTTCCGTCGGGGCCCCCAGTCGAGCATGGCGAACCCTTTGGGTGCGCCGAAGAGGGGGCCAGGAAGAGGGGGGGTCAGTGCATCACGGCCCTGGCGCGCGCTGAGCGCGCCAGGAGCGGCGCAGGAGGCGCCGCCCGAACCATCGGAAGTCCATGTTTGTGCGGCGTTGTTTGTTCGATCTCTGGACGCTTCGTGGCTAGCTCACGTCAGGAACAAGACAAGGCGTCACCACCACCACCAGCGCGAAGCGCCAGGGAGGGTCATCCTGGTGGTGTGGTCCCCCCCTTGGGGCTCGCGAAATCCTCTAGCCGCAGCTCTCGGCGGCATCGTGGACCCCCTCTCGCTGGAGGTTGTCCCCCTGGTGGCGGTGCTGGTGGTGCTGGTGTCGCCCCTCCTTCCTCCGATGGCGTCGCTGCGACGTACAAATGTTCGATCCCGCCCCGGTCCTCCCCGTCCTCCGCTGCACGGCGGGGCGCAAAGCTTGAGCTTGAGGGGAGACGGTTGGTGCAACGACTGTCTGCCCCCCTCCCCGACTGTGCCCCCCCGTCGCTGTCCCCGCGCCTGCGAGCTCCCCCTCCCCCTGGAAGAGGCTGCCACCATCACAGCTCCATGCTGGTGGGGGAGGAACCAGCACGAGGCGGAACATCCCAAGGACGAGGACGACGGGGTAGCGGGGGGAGGGGAGGTAGGGAAGGAGGAAAGAAGGGAGGGAGGGAGGGAGGGAGGAGGAGGCGTGGGAGGACGAGGACGCGGAGAAAGCTTTGAATATTGCTTGCCTGCTTCAATGGGCTCTAGAATCCACCTAGAGTCGTCTAGATGGATCTAGCAGGCTCTCGAGAGCTCTCGGTGCCCTCGAGCTCTAGAGAATTGAACAAATACACGAGGTGAGACAATGCACGAGGGGCTGCCAGAAAGGGAGAAAGAGAGAAAGGGAGAGAGAGAGAGAGAGAGAGAGGAGAGAGAAAGAGAGAGGGAGAGAAATAAAGTGGATGGGAGAGGGAGAGAGAGAGAGAGGGAGAGAGAGAGAGGGAGATAAGGAGAAGGAGAGAGAAAGAGAGAGAGAGAGAGTAAAATAGAGGGAGTCAGAGATAGAGAGAGAAAGTGGCGGCAGAGGGAGGAGAACGAGGATGAAGATGGGGAGAGAAGCAAGCAGGACGACGAGGACGAGGAGACGGAAAACTAACTCTAGAGCGGCTCCGAAGACGACGGCCTCTGAGGGCGTCAGCTCGGCCACCGCCCACCATCGGCCGCCGATCAACGGCCAGCGCATGATCCGCAACCGGTCGCCGATCGACGGATGGGCCGCCGACCAATTGCCTATCATTCAGCGTCCCTCTAACAGGGACTCCACTAAAGGGTACTTTGGCCAGTGACCCTGCGAACCTAATCCTCCCCGATGTGGGCAACGCTGCAATGCCACAAAGAGGCCCGAAAGTGGCAACTTTCGGCAATTTCAATCGGCCGATCGACGGATCGCCCGCCCCGGCCCCCGCTCGGGGGCAAACAATCTGCGATCCACTCCCCAGGCTCGCCGGCCCGACGCATCCATGATCCACGATCGGCGCCGATCGGGGATCCCCGATGCACGATCGCTGGTCGGGCGCCTCTGCGATCAGATCAGGGGACCTCTCAGCTACCTGCCCATCCCAGGTCGTGCTTCGTCTGATGCTCTGTCTTGTTCCCGACAGTGGCGACTGCTCTGCCATGTCGCCCTTCCGAGCTCCCTCCCATGTCGACCCTTTTGCAAGCCCGCGAAGTCGTCGTGCTGCCGAAGGGCTGCCAGCAGGTCTTGTCCACCTGGTCACACCCGAGGCTGGGGCGGGATAAGGACTCAACAGCAACTGCTTTTGGGCAGTCACCGCTTGCCAACAAACCGAGAATCTCCGCTGCGAGATCGACGACAAGTCCTGTGCAGAAGAAGTCAGGTGTCCTGTCAGGTATTGTACCGTCACCCCAAGCAAAACTGGGCGAAGCCCCCTGCGACGACAGCCTTCGCCGACGGCACCGTCGCACCTGCCAACGGCACGAGGAGGAACAACAATGAGGTCAGGCCGCCCTGCTCCGCACTTCCCTAAATGAGGCTACTAATTCCAAACCTCCGAATTCCTGATGTTCCGCTTCCACACTTGATGCTCCAGCGGCTCTCGATCTCTCTCGTGTGGACTTCGCGCTCTCTGGGCTGTTTCGCGTGGGCAACGGGGAGCTGAAGCACATCTCCGGAAACCCAAGTTGACCCTGGCATGGAACAAACGAGTCCTGAGGGAAACGGACCCCAGGCTTTCCCCTGTGACAGGCTGCTCACCCTGACTTGCTTTTGACGGTCCCAGGGCCCATGCAGATCCCACAGAGGTCCCCAAAACGGCTGTGTTGGCAGCGGCCACTGGTAAAGGCTCCCGCCTCGCACAGGTACCCGGCGCAGGTTACGTGCGGTCGCAACGAGACAGACATGAGGGGTTCAATGACAGGTGCGCGCGCGCATTCAGTTGATCGCCCGCAATGCTGACACAAGAGAATGCAGGGGAGTAGCGCTTAATCAAATGGTGTTTGCGAGATTCTGGCACAATCCACTGTGTGAACGCCAGCCAACCGGAGACCCAGAGGAGGAGAGAAGGCCCCCTCTTCCTGGCCCTAGGAGCACTCACTTGGCAAGGCGAGTCAAAAGTGCACAAGGAAGAGGGCGAAGAGTGCCCGGATGCATGTTGGACGCGTGTAGGTTTGACTCGACCGGAGGGTGCTGTTAAGCCGACCGGAGGGTGTTGTTAAGCAGAGGACAACCGCGTCCCCTGTGGAGATATACTTGTACCACAACGTGCTCTTAGAACCAAAGGATACTCTAAAAGCCAAAAGATGACTGCCCGCGTGAAGTCCAAACGAGAAGCTACTGCACAGCCTATATTCAAATGATGTGGCTCAAGCTACGTGCAGCTAGCTGCGTGGCGCAATAGATTAAGCCACGAGGTGCAACAAATGTGGCGCAAGCTATGTAGTGCAAGCTATGCGGTGCAAGCAATGTGGTACAACCTATGTGGTGCAAGCTATACCGTGCAAGCTATGCGGCGTGAGGAATTTGGTGGCATGTCAGGTGGAGTCGGGCCCACGAGGCGCCCACGGGCGGGCGCCAGGCCAAGCAGTCATTGCACTGTGGATGTAGAAGTGCTGTAATTACAGCTACGTCGTGCAAGCTGTGGTGCAATGCGTGCTGTGCAAGACACGTAAGGTAACCACTGTGGTGCAGCTACGTGGTGTAAGCTATGCGGTTTAAGCCACACGGTGCAAACTGCGTGGTGGAAGCTCTGCGGCGCAAGAGTGGTGGCGTGAGCTACATGTTGCAAGCTATACGGCGCCCGCGCGGCGCACACGGGCCGCTTCTAATTAGGCGAAACCTCGCCACACCCACCAGGCGCACGAGGCGCGCACCAGGCGCCCACCAGGCGGCCACGGGCGGGCACCGGGCGAAACCTCGCCACACACGCACAGCCAGCGCGCGAGGCGCCCACGAGGCACCCACCAGGCGGCCACGGGCGGGCGCCCAGGCGACACCTCGCCAGGGTCCACCCCGCGCGCGAGGCGCCCATCAGGAAAGCCACGGGCGGGCGCCGAGCGAAACCTCGCCACAGCCACCGGGCGCGCGAGGTGCGCACGAGGCGCCCACTGGCGGCCACAGGCGGGCACCGGGCGAGACCTCGCCACGCCCACACGGCGCACGAAGTGCGCACGGGGCGCCCACGCGCGGACACCGGGCGAAACCTCGCAACAGGCGCCCAGCGCGCGAGGCGCCCAACGGGCGCCCACGGGCGGACACCAGCCCAAACCTGGCCGCATTCAATCTACACGATTTTTTTTGTCGGCGGGTCGAGAGCGGGCCTCTTCCGGTTAAGAGCCAGGCGGGGCGCGCGAAGAACTAATTGGGGAGACAGGGCGCGGGCGGGCGGGGCCTCAGGCGGCCGGAGGGTGCGGAGTACAGGCGGTGCCGAAGAGCTTGCACAGGAAAAGGTACGCCTTGGACACGAGAATCCCTAATACAAACACTGCTCGTGAAAACCCAGGAGACAAAACCCTGGTGCAAGCACGGATTGGGGAGCGCTCGTGTAGCAAGAGCCAATGTCTCAAAACAAGACTGTCTGAGCCAGGACTCTTCCAGTAGCAAGTTGCACATACACAGTTGAATTGGCGGTCGCGGCCTCGCGCGCGGCGACGAGGCGGAGGAAGTCGAGCAAGCGGCATGAAATGAACGCGCGCGGCCGAACCCTCAGTCGCGGGACCGCGTTGGGTCGCCCGCACATGGGCCATCCCGGCGCGGGTGGCGAGGGAGAGAATTGAGGCAGCATCCAAAGACGGAGAGGCGGTACCCGACGAAACGACGCCGACCAAATGTGGGAGAGAGCGCCCGGGCAGCTAACCCGAAAAGCCTGGCTGCCGGGAGGGCCGCCCGCGACTGGATGGCTGGCACATACACACAGCAGAAAAAATTGGAATGCTTTGGGTGGGCCTGTATGCAGACCAAAACGTTTCACCAATGCCTGACATGCTTTTACCGGTTGGACCAAGTCTGGGCTCGAGAGCTCCGAGGATGGCACCAGCCGAGCACACGCGAGGATCAGGCGCGGAAGCTCCTGGCCTGAGGCCCGCCGGGCGTCTGCCACTCGCTCGCTTGAAGCATCCGGGTGTGACCAGCGCACCCCGCCGGCAGCAGAGGCCAGGCGGTGCGACAGTCTCGTGCGCCCTCGCCGCCCTTCCCTCGCGTCCCTGGCAGAACTCACCAAGCAGGCCCACGGCGGAGACCGCCTCTGCGCCGAGGCCACATTCTGGCGGCTCTGGTGGCGCATCATGAAGGGGGAGGAGACGCCGCCGAACTGGTATGAGACCTGTTCCGCGGAGGGTTCTTCAACGGAGCGACGTCCACATAACCGTTTGCAGAGAGTCCCTTCCACGAAAGACCTTTCTGCGGAGACCTGCTCTGCGGATACCATGTTTCGAGGAAACTGTTTCACATAATCAACTTCGATGGAACTTCATCCACAAAAACCTGTCCCACACGGAACCTCCCCCGCTCCCTATTCCTCACGCCAGGCTCGAAATCCCTCACCCTAGCTCTCCTGCGCGCCAAGACCTAAACCCCAAGCCGCAAACCCTGGACACCCCAGCCCCTAGACCATTAATCCTGAACCACTGCCTCTAAACTATGAAGCATAAGTCAAAATCCGACTATCTAATCCTTATCCGCAGACAATGACAAAACAACCCTAAGGCGCAGACCTTCTAGATGGCCGAAGGGCCACCAAATGCGAGCGGGCGCGCGCAGAGTTGGGTTTGAATGCGTTTAAAACCCAACTCTGCGCGCGCCCGCTCGCATTTGGCGGCACCCTCAGCCATGCCGACGCCCTGCGCCCTCGGAGCGGGGGAGAGGGGCGGTGCGTACGAGCCAGAACCGAGCCATTTTCTGTATTGGATTGTGTATTGGGCGAGCCCTTTTCGGGCGCCCTCGGAAACAACGCCTCTGAGGAGCTTCTGATGAGCCTCCGAGGCCCCCTGAGGCTCCCTGAGGCTCCCAGAAGCTCGGGGCGCCGGAGGGGCCACCAAGTGCGAGCGGGCGCGCACACAGTTGGGTTTGAAACGCATTCAAACCGAACTCCGTGCGAGCCCGCTCGCACTTGGTGGCCCTTCAGCCACGCAAGCCGCCTGCGCCTTAAACCCTAAAGCTTACACCGTGAGGAAAGGAAATCCACAGCCCCTAGACCTCCAACCCCAGTGGCCAAACCTACCTAACCCATCGATCGCAGACCCTGGAATCCACACCTTGCACACTAAACCCCGAACGCTATTCCCTATCCTCGCCCGATCCCTCCCCAAGTATCCCCTCCCTCCCTCCCTCCTCCCCCCTCCCCCCCCTCCCCTCCTCATCCCCTCCCCGCTCTCATCTCCCCCTCCCCCTCTCCCGGAGCTCGAGACACCGGGGAACGTGGGCGGATGAAGAGTACAGTCGGGCCGCTGAAAGAAGGAACGGGAAAAAAGGAACGAAGCCCCTTTTTGGCCCCAAAAGCGCCAGCGTGCACGAGGAGGGCTAGAGGAACAACCACATACTGACCTTAGGGACATCGAGCCCCTTTCGTACCCAAACTGTTCTTATTCCCACGTCTTGGCTGTACGAGAGGCGACGCAGGGCGGCACCGGGGCCAGGGATACTTGGAAACGCGTGGCCGAAGGAAGCGGAGCGGCGACGGCGCAGGGTAAGCCCTGGAGACAGAGTGAGCTTGGGGGGACGAGAAAACACCCATGTCGATACAGTCGGACCTACCGTCGGGGCGTTGACCTCAGGAACTCTGAATAAGGAACGAGCCCCTTTTCTCCAGAAGTTCACCTTCAACTTCCCATCGATAATCCAAGGATAATCTGTGGCAGAATGTGAAACAGTGAAGGAGCACGGAGCCCCTCCCCAACGAAAAGGGTTCCTTATTCAGAGCCCCGATTTGGGGAGCCCACAAAGGACGTACGCGCCCAGCTATGTACATGAACACGGCCCCTCGATCCGCGAGACCGGCCGCGTTATACGAACATTTGCGCAATGTGAACTCTCGAAACCAGCGTGGATTCATGTACATGTACGTCCTTTTTCCGCTCCTGACGATTGTATGCCAGAAGAACATCCTTCAAGAAAACGAGACGTGAGACCCTCCGTCGGCCAAAACAAACAGAGCAAGCGTGAGACCCTCCGCCGGCCAGATTGAGACGCGAGACCCTCCGTCGATCTGGGCAGGACTTCAACGCGGCTCCGGCCGTGACAACGAAGGAAACGCAGCGGTACGTCGGTGCACCTTCCCCCTCCGGAAGGTGGCGGCGGCACAGGGCAGGGCCGAACTGGGACACGCCACGGACGGGGCCAAGCAGCTCGCGTTCCCAGACCCCTGAGGCCGTGATTTTGTTAGGACGTGGCTCCCCAGAGGTCTGGGCCCCCTCCCGGGAACCAGCGTTTCGTTTTCGCGATAGCGGCCGTTACTGGCCCCGGCCAGACTCTCCCCCCTCTCCCTCCCCCAGGGTAACGTGACGATTCGTGCTGACCTCCGAATTGCCTTCGGATATCCCTAGACGTTCCCAGACAGCGCCGGCGCGAAGCGTGACGTTACCAGCCCGCTCCCCCTTCCCCCCCTAGCGCCGCCCGTGAACAAACAAGTAAGTGTGTGACGGTCTCGAAGCTGGGCCGTTTTTCGAAAGGCCCCTGAGGCCGAAAATGGCGAAACACACGCGATGCGAGGGGGCCTGGGCTGACAGCCACGAAAGGCCGCGGACGCGGGGCACCCCCTTGGTCGCAACAGCAATGGTGTCGCCCCATAGTGCAACAGAGTAGGGAAGAGCGCCCATGGCGCTGCAAACAAGATCCGCGCAAGTGCACTGGGTACGACACACTATCGGGTACGACACACTACGAAAATGGCCGAGAGCCACGTCGATCCCATCGAGGATGCTCAGGGTAACCATGCTGATTGAGCGTATGTAGTCAAGAGATGGCCCAGCGCAACAAACCGTTGGTTCGTCAACTAGGGAGGTAAAACGGTACCAACATCGCTACTTCCCCGATCTCTACCAAGGTGAGTTCTGACCAGAATTTCGAGGCGCATCCGACCGTGGCAGCGAGGGGCGCGCAGCGGTATCGGTACCTCTTCCTCCTCCGACCGACGGCATACCACATCTGTTACGATGTGCACGGTGCGGGCTACAGTGCGCACGCTGATACCACGCGCAGTGAAGAGGCAGCCGGGCGTGGCCGGGGTTAAACCGACAAGTGCCCACACCGCTACTCCTGGGACCTCTCCGGGGCTGCTTGTTCTGACCGGCACCTCGCACCTCGAGGAGAATCCAGCCGTGGCGACGGGGGCTCTCCAGCACGGGCAGCGGCATCGGTACCCTCCTCTCCTCTCGACTGCGCGCACGAGTGGCCCTGGGTAAGAGTGACCTTTGGTGCGAGGTTCACTAGGGGCTACGGGGGGGACCCAACACGAGCGCGCAAGACGCTACTACCGCATCGCGTTCGGCGATCGGGGGGCCCCGTTGGGCCCGCACCAAAGGTCGCTCCAGCGCTTAGCTGCCCCGATACGCAACACGTAACACGCATCGTATTGATACGGAGCTCAACACGTAGGCTGAAAACGTAGGTCCGCCGCGATACACTCGCCAAAACGTGGTCCAATACGTGGGGCCAAAACGAAACGGCCTTGAACACGGGACGTGTTGCGTTTCAAAACGGGCGTGCCGAGGCAACTAAGCTCCGGCGAGAGGTCACTCTTACGTGTAATCATAAAGGGGCCCCAGGACACACGAATAAATACACACAAATAAAAGTATTCCCCATCTTTTCCTATATTTTCTGGGTTTTCGTCCTCCCCCCCCCTTCCCATATTTTCCCATATTTCCTGGGGAATCGACGATTCATTATGTCTGTGTGTTCTTTCCCCTCCTGAAGTCAGTCCTCCTCCGCGTGGCCCCAGGCTCTCGGCCCGCCGACGCCGGGGCGGCGCCGCCGCGCGGGCCGCCCGCGCCCGGGCCTGCGACGGGCCCGACGGGAGCTCCTCGGCCTGCGACAGGGCGCTCGTGCGCGTCGTCTGGAGCACCGGGGAGGAGCTCTGCCTCCGGCCGGGCGGGGTCGGCGGTGGAGCACCCCCGACAGGGGAGCACCCCGAGGCGCCCGAGCGGGCCCTGCGGCCACCCGCGGCGCCTCCTCGCGCCCCGTCAGGGAGCAGAGCGCGCCTCCCGGCCTCGGGCCCCCGAGGTCGAGGAGGGGAGGGGGGAGGGGGGAGCAGCCCTCCCCCCACCCCGAACAGCCCTCGCCGTTGTCCTCCTCCTCCTCCTCCTCCTCGCTCCTCCTCCTTCCTCCTCCTCCTCCTCCTCCTCCTCCTCCTCCTCCTCCTCCTCCTCCTTCTCCTCCTCCTCCTCCTCCTCCTCCTCCTCCTCCTCCTTCCTGTGGCTCTGTGGCGTCCTCCTGTGTTTCATCGTCCTCCTCCTCCTGTTTCTCCTTCTACTCTTGTTTCTCCTTCTGCTCATCTATATGTGTCCCCCGCTCCGTCCCTCAACACGACAAATAATTTCTATATGGGCGGGGCATGCGTTGATTGTGGGAGAACAACATTCTCGGTCTCGATCGCCTTCTCATTCTCTCTTTTTTGCGTTGGGCGGACATGATGCGCTATGCTTGCTGCGACCTGTCAGTGCGAGAAGCCCCAAACAAAAAACACCGACTTAGGCCAGGGGAAACACACTAAGCCGGCTGCAACTGCGGAAGAAAGAGGTGCAAGCATCTCTCCTCGTCTACCCCGTCCTCCTCCTCCCCGTCCCCCTCCTCCTCCTCCTCCTCCTCCTCCTCCTCCTCCTCCTCCTCCTCCCCTTTTCCTGAGCCCCTCTTCTCCATGAACAACTCCCCCCTGTCGTGACCTCAGACGTGTCACTAGTGCGGGCCGGGCTTTCGCCTGAGACGTTCTCACCACTTATGACCCTGAAGACTGAAATCTGCAACAAGTTCAAGGATGGATGACGGGTTTTCAAAATGTAGCTCTCGCTTTAGCGCCGCGCACAGTCGTCCAAACGTTCGCAACAGTTTCGAGGACACGTAGCGTTGAAGTCCCAGGCATGGTGTTCTGGCACGATGTCGGAAGGTCAAGACGCAACAATCACACTGATTCGCGGTGTTGAATTACAAGGGGTGGCGTTCTGGTCCAGTTTAGGAACGTCAGGACGCAACACTCACATTGATTCGCGGCGTTGAAATCCGAAAGATTATGTTGTGGCAGGGTTGGAGATTCTCAGACAGTTGTCTTTCCATGGGGCACTTCCCGTCATGAACACAATTTGTGGTAGGGACCTATGAAGAGGGAAAGTGGGGAGGGTGTATTGCAACACCGTTGGTGCGTCTTGGGTTTACGCTTGTCCTCCTTCTCCCACTCCTCCCCCTCGGCCTCTTCCTCCTCCTTCTCGTCCATCTCATCCTCCTCCTCTTCCTACTCAGCCCCCTCATCTTCCTTCTCTTACCCCTCCTCACTCACGAACACGGTAAGGAAGTGAAGTAAGGAGTAATATATGTTGTCGGGCGTCTTTATGGTGACGCCTCCATGTGCGAGGATGTCTCGGAAGTGAGCCAAGCTCTTGAAGGTGAGTCGAATTCGGGCGCTCACTGCAGATCTCGCTCGTTTGAAGATGTCTGCAACGCACCCCCACCCCCCACCCCCCCACACACAAACACACATACATAAAACATGTTGGATATCCAACGACTGGATGAACATCTCAATGTTGTGAGGAGGTGGAACCTTGACACAACGTCGTAAGACAACTCCTCCAGCATGCCCATTGTGTGCGCGGATGTCTCAGGCGAAGCCGCCCCCCGCCCATACACACACCATGTTCGATATCCGACGACCGATCTCCAATAGATCATGAGTCTGAGGATGTCGCAAGCAACAACGTTAGTTTTGACAAATTGCGTCGTAACAAAACTCCTCCACCATCCCCATCGTATGAGGATGTTTCAGGCAGAACGCTCTCCCAAAACGATGTTGTATATCCGACGCCATAGCTCAACATCTCGATGTTCAGCGGATGTCTGAGGTGAAACCATCACGTGTCAGAACCAACGTCGTAAGCAACTCCTCCAGTACCCCCCGTGTGCGATGATATCTCAGGCGAACCGCCCCCAACCTCCACACAATTTTGGATATCAGACGTCCGATCTCCAACGTATCATGTTTCCGAGTTTGTCTCGGAGACAAGCTTCGCGTTTGAGCACCGACGTCGTAACAGCAACTCCTTAAACATGCCCATGACCCCCCCCCCCCCCCCCAAAAAAAACACCATGTTGAATATCCGACGTCTGAGCTCCAACAGGTCAAGTGTCAGCGGATGTCTCATGCAGAATGCTCACTTTGAGAAGCAACTTGGTAAAACAATTCCTCCAACATCCACGTGCTGTGAGGATGTCTCACGTGAAACACTCCCCCCACACACCATGCTGGATATGCAACCACCGATATGCAGCATCTCACTTGTCTGAGCATGTCTCAAGCGCGAGATCTATGTTTGAGAAGCAACATCGTATAGAATGCCTCCAACATCTCCATGTTGTGAGGATGTGTCAGGCGGATCCCCCCCCACCCACCACTCCTCTCTCTCTTTCTCTCTCCCCCCCCCCATGTTGAATATCCGTCTCCCGATCTCCAACATCTCTTGTTCTGGGGATGTCTGAGGCGAACGCTTCAGGTTTAAGCAACGGCGTCGTAAAACAACTCCTCAGGCATCCCAATGTTGTGAGGATGTCTCAGGCGAAACGCTCCCCCGACACCATGTTGGAGATCCGACGTCTGATCTCCAACATCAAAATGTCTGAAGATGTCTCAGGCGAAAACTGCATGTCTGAGAACAACCGTCGAAACCAACTCCTCCAACATCCCCGTGTTGTGAGAATGTCTCAGGCAAACGCCACACACACACACACGATGTTGGATATCCGGCGACTGATCCCCAAAATCAAATCGTCTGAGAATGTCTTAGGCGAACGCTTCATGTTTGAGAATCGGCGTCGTTAGGTTGTGAGTGTCAGGCGACACACACACACACACACACCCACACCATGTTGTGAGGATGTGTTGGGCGACATGCTCTCCCCACACCATGTTGGGTACCCCACGCGACGGTGCACACATGAAAACACGTGCCCCGTGCGCACAAACACCGCCGCGCACGGATTTGCACGAGTGAGGAATCCGACGCTGGCACGTTGAACAACAATCCCGCAAACATTCCAATGCTGTGAGGGTGTCTCAGGCGACTAGCCCACCCCACCATGTTGGATATCCGACGTCTCAAGCGCGAGCTTCATTTCGAGAAGCAGCATCGTAAATCAGCTCCTCCGGCATCCCCCTGGTGTACGGATGTCTCAGGCGTGATGCTCCCCCCCCACACACACAGTGTTGGACATCCGACCTCTGATCTCAAACATCACAGTGTGCTGAGGATATCACAGGCAAAAGCTTCACGGTCGAGAACCACCGTCGAACAACACCTCCGCCAACATCGCCACTGTGTAAGGATGCCCAACCCAAACACCATGTTGGATGTCCGACGTCTGATCTCCGATAGCTCATTGTCTGAAGATGTCTCAGACGAACGATTCATGTTTGAGAATCGGCGTCGTAAAACAACTCCCCCAACAGACCCATGACTCAGGCGAAACGCTCCTCCCGCACCATGTTGGATACCCGACGCGACAGTGCACGCGTGAAAGCACGTGCCCCGCGCGCACGCCCCCCTCCGCGCGCGAATGTGCAGGTGTGCAGACTCCGACGCTGGTAGATTGGACACCTCCCTTGGGGTCCCGTCGTCGCCAGGAGCACCTGAAAACAATTTGTTGATTCGCGGGTCGAGAGCGCACCTCTTCCGGTCGAAGCTAAGCGTGCCGCGCGAAGCTTGAATTAACAAAGAGGGGGAGACAGAAGGAGAGGCCTCACGGCAAGGCCAGGAGGAGGCAAAGCCTCGGGATCAGGCGGTGCCGAAGACGAGAGCACGTGAAAACAAGTGCCAAACGCATGCGCGATGAGACGCAGGCTGAAGACACGCCCCCTTCCGCACACGAATTAACTATTCTGAGCCCAATTCCGACGCCACCTGCTCGACATCTGTCTGGTACAGGGCCAAAGGCCCGCGCATTACAAGAGAACCCTGGGCCTGAGCCGTTGCCAGGAAAACTTTCAGGGTGCTCCCTCCTTCTTCGGGACAAGACACGACAGCGCCTCGAGAGCAGTGGAGAAGGCGACTGACATCGTGGTTGAAAAAGCCTCGAAACAGAGCTACCGCATTGCAGATGCACAGGCGACGACGGGATGGAGAAACTCGGATTCTGGATCACGCCTTGTCGCCGATGATTCGGCGATGCGGCACAAGTCGTCCGACACCATCACCCCCAGCCAAACTCTACAAACGGCGCCAATGCACCGCACCCTGTGTCTGGATCCCCTGCGGGCCCCGCTCTGGGCGTGGTGTACGGTGCATAGCTTTCCCCGCTCTGGGCCGACAAAAAAACAGCGCACCGAACCATTCAGGGGTCGAGGAGGAGGAGGAGGAAAAAGAGGAGGAGGAGGAGGAGGAGGAGGAGGAGGAGGAGGAGGAGGAGGGAGGGGAGGAGGATGAGAAGTGATGATGATGATGGATGATGATGATGATGATGATGATGATGATGATTATTATGATGGTGATGGATGATGATGATGATGAGGAGAGGAGGAGGGGCGGAGGAGGAGGGGGAGGAGGAGGAGGAGGAGGCGGAGGAGGAGGAGGAGGAGGAACGACGACGCCTCGAGAGACGCAAGCACAGCACGCTGCGCACAATGCACTGCGGCCCGGCGTGGGGCCAGGCCCGCCAGCGGGCCGAGAGGAGGCGTGCGCTCCTCGTCGGCAGGCTGACGGCGCTCGCGGCCGCCGCGGAGTCCGCCGTGCTGCTCCTGGGGGGGGGGGCGAGAGCTCAGTCGGGCGTGTCCCCTTGCAGGGGGAAATTTTCGACGAAAAATAAAAGATAGCCCAACTTATACTCAAAAACTGCCAACAAAAATACTCAAGGATCGTCCCCGGACTATTGTTTGACTATTTTTGAATATTCCCCCTGTAGAGGGACAGGCCCAACTGAAGGCGAGAGATGCCGACCGCTCCCCGCTGGGGGGCTCCCAAGGCGACGCCGGAGGCGACGCCGGGGGGGGGCCCCAGCGCCGATCCGAGAAATCCTCACGGACCTCCGAGAGCCTCCGTTGACGTCAGCATGTGTTCCCCGAGAGAGAGGCTCAGCGGTCTGAGGGTGAGCTCTTGCTCTCATCGAGCCAAGACGCGACGGCGCACCGCCACGCGCTGGGCAGCGTGGTGCGCCGGCTCCTCGGGGGCAGCAGGCAGCGCGACGGGTGGGCGTGGCGCAGAGGTGCCCTCCATAGGTGGCGACATCCAAACCCTACGCCCACCAACCAACCGATTCTCCTGAATCGATGGGAGCCGGGGGTGGGGTTCGGATTTCGCCACGTGTTCGACAACTTCCGAACCCTACCCCAACCGCCTATCGAATTGCCTGAGTCGTTGATCGGCGAGGGTAGGGTTTGGATTTCGCCGCTGGCCCCCGGACCTCAGACAGGGCGCGCCCCGCGCCCTGACCAAGATGTCGACTTGGAGCCAGCTGGCGGCTGGGGGAATGAGAGGTGGGGCATCACTCGTTCCAGCGAACAGAGAGCGGGAGGGGCACCATTGCACACAGGGTCGGTTTCTTGCCCACCATGGGCCGCCTTCTCCAGATGGGTATCGAATGCCAAGTTTGCCCCATTTCCCCTTCTGACTGGTTTTGCTGGTGCCCACGCCCTCCAAATCTCGAGGCGAATCCAGCGGTGGCAGCGAGGGCTCTCCAGGAAAGGGCACCGGCGTCGGCCTTCGGGCCATGCCTCCGGTCCGGCTCCTTCGGGCCCCAGCGCTCACAGCGAGGCGCAGCTGCCGAAAAGCACCCAAAGCCTCCCAGAAACGACGAACAAGCCCGGGAAGCCCAACAGGGCGAAACCGCAGGACGCGCAGCGGACTCTCTAGAGGGACAACAGCAAGAGTAAGCATGACCCTCGGAGAGCTCCGCACCGATCTCTTCGACCGGCGCCGGGGCCCCCTTGCCGGCGCGCCGAGCGCGCGCCAGGGGCGGCGCCGGAGTCCGGCGCAAATCCAAGAAACACGCGCGGACCTCCGAACGCTAACAGTTTTGCGCTATGAGAGGGTTCTCACAAAGGTAACAAAACACCGCAGAAGAGTCCCACGAGAGGGACGGAGCGCCCGAGACCGCCCTGTGGAGATCGCCCGGTCTGGCAGCCGTTTCGCAGGAGACTCACAGTCGGACCTAGGACAGAAGCACACCCTTCTCATGAGACCCTCCGGCGGCCCAACTGAAGAACACTCGAGGGTACCCTCCCCCAGGATGCACAGGCACATCTAACAAACACGAAGAACATCAGGGCACCCTCCCGAACCGACCCGGACGGCCACGATCCTTTTTGTAAAAATGCACCCAGCTGCACGAGGCCATGCTTTCACCTGCTATTAGGGCGCTCTGCTTGGGGAAACCAGAAGGTACCAATAGCGCTACTCCCCCGACCTCTCCCAGGGTGCGTTCTGCCCAGAATCTCGAGGCGAATCCAGCCGAGGCGACGAGGGCATCCCAGGAGGCCCAAGCAAGGGTAGTGGTATCGGCACTGTCCTCCTCTGAAGTAGGGCGCTCTCCTTCGCCTGCGAACGGGGGCCAGCCTTTGGGGGGTCAGGAAGAGGTGAGCCCAATTCCGTTGATTTTCCTTGTTCGGCCGTATCTGTTTCAACAAATCCGCCAATTCTGTCGGACTGTGGAAAACGCTGATCTGCTTGACTCGACGTCGTCGTCGTCACCGTCGCGTTTGACCCCTCGTTCCTTGGCCCGTCGACGCTCCCCCCATTTCACTGGGCCGTCCTCCTCAAGCGAGCCAGCCAAAGCGAAACCAAAGCGAAATTGAGCAACGCCGTAGACGAGTCGGAGGGAAGCCACTTCCTTTTGATCCCTTCCCCCCTGGGGGGACGGGGGGTGGGGGGGGGTCCCGGCAGCATCCTGGAAGGGGTCCTATGAGGGGCCCTGGGTAAGAATACCAACCTCCCCCAGGGGGTCCTGGGGCCCAAGGCGCGCGGTGCGACGCGGAAAATAAATGGTCGGGGCGATGGGGGCACTGGGCGGAGGTTCCACTGGGTAACGCGGGGAGGGTAGGAGGGGGGCGGGGCGGGCAAGGGGAGGACGGAGGAGGGGTGAGAGGGGGGCGGGGAGGGGGGGCGGGCGCGGTGCGACGCGGAATCAGGTCGGGGCGGAGTGCACTGGGCAGATGTTCCACTAGGCCACTGGGGAACGCTGGGGAGGGGTAGGAGGGGGGGCAGGGCAGGAAGGGGCGCGGTGCGACGCAGAATAAAGTGGTCGGAGCTCGAGACACCCAGTGCAAGAGAATCAAATGGTCGGAGATCTAGACACCCTGTGCAAGATAATGACTTTCCTTTGGGAGGTCAAAAATTCTGGCATTCTCGCCTTCCCGGGGCCCGAAGACGGCCCAAGATGACACCAAGATCGGCACAAGAGGCCCTCACGAGGTTTCCAATACGGCCCCGAAACGACCCAAGAGGATCCCAAGACGGCCCCAGGTGACTCCCAGACGGCCCAAGAGGCGACCAAAAAGGCTCCAAGCGGGTGCCCACACGGGAGCCCCCCAAAAAACAGGTCGAGCCCTCGAAGCTCCCAGGAGGCCCCAAGAGGCCCCCGCGAGGCCCCGCGACGTCCCACGAGGCACCCAAGAGGCCCCCACGAAGCCCAGAGGGACACCCACGAGGCTCCCAAGAGGCCCCTGAAAGACTCCCCTGGGGCCCCAGAACTGCCCCCCAGAGGCCTACGAGCATGCTCCGAATAGGCCTCACGAAGCCTCGCTGAGGACTCTGCCCCACGGCAGCGTCGCCGTCGCCGCCGACGACGACGTGGTCGTCATCCCCTTTCAGGGTCGGCGGCGCCGGCAGCAAGGCCTTCCCAATATGTATCAATTTGCTGTTTTTCTCCAATTCTCCAAATAGGCTTGCCATATAGGAGTCCCAGCTCATCATAAGCAGTTGGTCTTTAGGACCCCCCCTTTTCCCAATGGCCACCCCCTTTTTCCAATGGACCCCCCCCCTTTTTCCAATGGCTCTTGCTTGCTTGTTATTGCTTGCTTGCGCTTGATTGCTTACGCTTGCTTGATTTTGCTCCTCCCGCCCTCCTCCCGTCCTGCTCCCATCCTCCTTTCGTCCTCCTCCCATCCTCCTCTCGTCCTCCCCCTCTCCTCCTATCTATTTGGAGTCAACGCTGGCTGATATTTGGCACGTGGTGTGGAGTTGTTTTTGCCCAGGCCCGCACTCTTCCCAGCACATCTTGTGCACGCACTTCGCCCTTCGCTGGCCCTGCCCCCCAGAAGTCCGACCCCCATCAGCGAGCGAATGACGCTCTGCTGGGGCAATTCCCTCTTCGAGCCCTCTCCCCCCCCCCCGAGCTCCTCATCGCCGCCGCCGCGCGCGCCGTGGCCTCGCCGCCGTGCGGCGACACCGGCAGCGCGGCCGCGGGCGGCACGCTGCCGGCGCCGGCGACCTGCTCGGCATCGCCGCCGGCCTGCGCGAGGGAGAGGGAGCAGGAGGATCTGCCTGTCCCCCAAAAAGTCCCTCAGATGAGCGACGAACCACGAGAACTGGTCGTTCGCGAGATGGCGGCTTACGCGGGCCGCCAGGGCGGCACGCCACATTAGCAACGAGGGCGCCTACGCGCGACCTGACGCGGGCAGCTTACGCGCGAATGTCGGCGCAGTCGAACCCGTGAAATATCCCCCAGATGGAGGTCGACTTGGATCGCCGCGGAAGTTGCTAAGGAGATAAAAGGGTTAGAAGTGGATGCCAAGGCGGTTTATGCCTGGCCTGACCTCGCTAATAACTGGGCTACAAAGCCCTGAGATGCGTAGGGTGATTAGATAGCTCCGCTGAGTGGGCTCCACCCGCTTGGCCCAGCTCTGTACGCCTTTCAGCCACTGAGTGCATTTCCAATCCACAAATTAGCTAGGTGAGGCCAGCTATCATCCACCTTAGCAACCACTTGGAAACTCCGTATCCCCCTCGTACGACCTGCGGCGATCGAAGTCAGAGTGAGGGGGCCGAACTGTCATTCATTGTCCTTGGGTGCGTGGCTGAAGTGAGAATCCGTGGTGAGGACTATGATTGCTGCGTTGTTGCTGTTGTTGTTGTTGCTGTTGTTATTATTGTTGTTGTTGTTTGTTGTCGTACCCCCCGCGACCCACCCGCGACCCACCCCGCGACCACCCCGCGACCCACCCGCGATCCAACCCGCGACCCATCCGCGACCCACCCCGCGACCCACCCCGCGACCCACCCGCGACCCACCCGCGACCCACCCGCGACCCACCCGCGACTCACCCGCGACCGATCCGCATTGGTTTGAGAAAAATCGGCGCCTGCGGCGGGCTCATTCTATAATTTGTAGAACTTTGGCGCCTGCGGCGGGCTTCTCCAGAGTCTCGCAGACTGCCGACGTCCCCACCGCCCCCTCGCTCCTATCCGCATGTGCGGGGTGCTACGTAGTACAAAGCCTGGGCATGGCGAGACACACTTGTGGGCCAGCGACGAAAGCGACCGCACAACGCGTTCGAGTACCGGCCGGCCGCGCTGGGGCTCCAGCGAGAAAAAGTCCAAGGAACGTTTTGAGGGAGGAAGACGTTTCTCTTCATCAGCGCTGCTACAGTCGGACTTAGGCCAGAAGAGCATCCGTCAAGAACATGAGACCCTCCGTCTGCCAAGACAGTCACAACATCGAAGGGTACCATCCCCAGGATGCACAAGAGCATCCAACAAGCACGAATAACATAAGGTACCCTCCCGGAACCGACCTCGATCTTATACCGCGGTCCGACTGTACTGCCACCACCATTGGCAGCCAACCACCACTTGCCATTGAGTATGCAGGCGAAAAGAGGCTGATGTGGGAAGAGCGCATCAGGAGGGGAGAGAGGTCAACCAGTCAACAGCCACCAAACGCAAGCCCACCGTGGCAATCTAGACGGTCGCCTCCATCGGCACTTGGCGGGCGAACTTTAGGAGGACGAGGAGGAGGAGGAAGAGGAGGAGGAGGAGGAGAAGTAGGAGGAGGAGGAGGAGGAGGAGGAGGAAGGGGATGGCCGCGTGGATACGACTCCAGGGCAGACAGAGAGAGAGAGAGAGAGATTGAGACAGATGAGGAGGAGGAGGAGGAGGAGGAGGAGGAAATTCTTCCTCCCGCCACCACAGCGCCAGCGAGTGCCCCGCGGCGGCCTGCATGCCAGGGCAGCCTGACCTGAAAGAGCAGTGACGACACTGATGGGACGTGGTCCGAAAAAATTCGGTGGACGGGAGGGCCTGGCGACACTCTTCCGAGGGAGGAGGAGGAGGAGGAGAAGGAGGAGGAGGGGGAGGAGGAGGAGGAGGAGGAGGAGGAGGAGGAGGAGGAGAAAGAGGAGGAGGAGGAGGAGGAGGAGGAGGAGGAGGAGGAGGAGGAGCAGGAGCGCGACAAGGAGCAGCAGGAGGAGCAGCAGGAGCAGAAGCAGAAGAGGGAGCAGAAGGAGCAGCAGCGGGAGCAGGAGGAGGAAGAGGACCCCCCCCCCGCGCGCAGCCTCCTCGCCGCAGGAGGGGCTGGCGACGGCCGAGCGCCTGGAGGGCGTTGTGCTTTAGACCCAGGCAAGTTCACTCGCATGGCATCGCCCCCCCCCTCTCCAGGCAAGGTCCCCTGCATCGCATTTCCCTTAGGAAGCAACTACTGGGAGGTTCTCGTCGGAAAGATGAAAGAGGATTCAGCCCCATTTGGGAGCTGTTGCGCCGGATGGGGCCTCGGATGAAGCGGGATTAAGCGGGCTTGAGCGGGATAGAGCGGGATCAAGCCGGATCAAGCCGGATTAAGCCGGACTTCGGACCAGGGCAAAATCAGAACTCGACCTCCCAGGAGTTGCACCCGAATTCCCCCTCCCCCCCCCCGCCGCCTCTTCAAGCAACGCTGGGCCTGCGACGAGGCGTGCAAGCGAGTCCCGGTTTGCGTGCAGTCCGGACTTCCTCTCGGGTCTCGCTCCCCCCCCTCGTGCAGGTGCACTTGCAGAAGCGGGGGAGCCTCCTGCACGGGAGGGGCAGCAGCGGCGCCGGCGTCAGCGGCGCCAGCGCGCGGGGCGCGGCGCCGGGCTCCGCCAGGCCCTCGGCGCGCTGGCTCGCGTCCTGGGCGGGGCCAGGTGGGGAAGCGACTCCTGGGAGGACTTCATCAGAACGGAGAAGGGCCAATAGGCCCGATGAAAGGGCCGCTATGCCAGCCTAGGCTGAGCGGGATGTGAAACGGGTGGATGAGCCAGGGTGAGCGGGATTGAACGGGTTTAACGAGGTCAGGTCGGATTCGGCCAGCCGTTTACTACGGATATGCCAGCGCTGGTGCTGAGTTCAATATCCCACAAGTGGCATCCTAAGATGGGAGCTCTCTCTCTCTTTTTCTCCCCCTCTCTCTCTCTCTTTCTCTCTCTCTCTCTCTCGCGCGGCAGCCTGAGGGGGGGGGGGAGGGCCTCGAACGTCGTACGTTGTCGGATGTGTTCGTCGGCACGCGGCGGTGTTTTTACGACGGTATTAGAGCAAGGAGCAATAACTTGATATCATGATCGTGATAGCTACCACGGGTGGGTGCGTGGCTCACCCCGCACGCAACACCGCACCCCTGCATGCGGCATGGGCCGAGATAGTACATACGTGGGAATGAGCTGTTCGCCGCTGCGACGGAACTCGTACATTGCCTCGTGGGCGGACGTTGTAACGGTGCTGCTTTCTCGGGCAGTCAAGCGCGCACGCGCAAAAAGAGACCCTGAGTCAGCTGGCGACTTTGGAACCCCTCGAAGTAGGCCCTTACAGCATCGCGTTTAGGACTCATGGGAAGATAAAAAAGCTGCTCGGCTGACGGCTGACAGTTGTGAGAGGGAGGAGGGAGCGGTACTTGAGGTTAGCTGAGCGGAGGGAGGAGGAGTGAGGTGAGAGTCTAACTTCGTTGCTAGGCATGGCTGGCGCGCTGGCGGCTGGTGGCAACAAGCCTCAAGCTTCAGGATAAAAAAAGAGCAGCGACCTCACCGTCGGAATCCTCCGTAGCCTCCTGGTCGTCTGCTGCAGCTGAGGTCGCCTCGACTGGGATACTGAGCTGGATGGTTTCTCCCTGCACAAATTTGGTCACGCGCTCATCCTGCGAAAGTGCTCGAGCCAGACCGAATATCTCCTCCTCCTTCCAGCCCGCAGGGGCAGCGCTAACGTGGTGGCGGGTTTTGCCCTCGCTCGCGAGGGAATCGATGATGACCCTGCGCATCTCCCAGTGCTGCGCGCCCATGAGTAGCTTGGCGACGTTCGGGTCGTACGTTCTGTACGCATATGAAGCATATGTCCAGCATCAGCGTCTCGTGGTCGACCTCGGGTTCTGCCTCGCCAGGTGGTCGGCACCTGTCCAGGTACTTCTGGAGGGTTCCTTCAATTTGCCTCCCACTTCGCAGCTGATGAAGCTCTCGAGCATCACCAGCGCTAGTGCGGGGGTCGGAGGGCCTAGAGCCTTCAGAGCTTCGGCACTCATCTCCGAGCGGAGGCCCTCGACCCTCGCCTTGAAGCCTTCCAGCTCGTCCGTGAAGTGGGCTTGAATCGGGTGGGTAGTTGCTAGTGTCCATGTGTCGGCCACGGCGCACATCATGATGCGCACTCTCTGGGCGGTCTGCAGGCGGCTGGTCATCAGGGACATCAGGAGTGGCTGAAGGTTACTGCCTTTCCTGGTCCACGTTTTGTCGGTGTGCCAGCGCTCCTCCTACCTCGGGATACGTTTCGGCTGCGCCTTGCCGAGAAGCGCCCCGGGGTGTCCTGATCGTCCCGAACGACCGCCGGAGAGCCGAGCGCGGAGCCAGGGCTCTTGGGGGGCGTGGGGGGGGGGAGGAAAAGCTGGCGGCGAGCCCAGGGGGGAGTGCAAAGGGGGCGGGCAAATCTCAAAGGGCCGAGGAGGCCCCCAGCTTTCCGAGAAGCTCCTCTGAGCCTCCTCCGAAGACACGGACGGTCCCTGAGGAGGCCGAAAGCCTTCGGAGAAGCCACGCCGCCTTCTGAGACAGCCTGCCCCCTCTCACACTTCCCCCCCCCCTCCGCCCCCCCTCCCCGTGCACGCCGCCGGAAACAACAACATCCAGGACACGCTGCGCAGGGAGCCCATCAGCGTGTCACCATCGAGGAAGCACCAGGCATTCGGACGAGAACGCGGGAGCAGCACGCTGATGGGTGCCCCCAGAGGCGGCGTGTCGTTCATGCTCTGTGCTCCCTCGCGCAAGATCGAGGATGAGAAAACTTCCTTGGGGCGAAGACTGCCAAACGTTCCTCGGCGGCCCAAGACCGCTGGCGACGCCGGGCGAAGCATCGCGCGACGGCGAACCGACGACGACGAAGGACGACGGCCGACGGCGACGACCGACGCCGACAGTCCCTGGGAGGAAAGACACTGGATCTCTCACCGCCGGTACCCAGCCGTGGCGCCACGAGGCCTCCAGGTGGCCCAAAGAGGGCGAGAAACGCCAGTGAGGACCGCCGCTGTCTCGACGGGCCCTCCTCCAAGCAGTCCTTCGTGACGGGACCCCCAGCGATCTCGGCCCATTCCTTGGGGCTGGTGTTCACCCCGAGTCGTCCTTCGACGGCCCCAGGGCCCAGCAAGAGCCCCCCGAGGCTGAAAAATTGGAAAGAGTTCCCAACATGATCCGTTCATGGCCCGAGTGAGTCTGGGAAGCCCTCCACACGCGAGCTCCCTCCCCGCGCGAACGCCCATATTCCTTACTCCCCCTCGTTCCTCCTCCTCCTCCTCCTCCTCCTCCTCCTCCTCCTCCTCCTCCTCCTCCTCCTCCCATCCTCCTCTGCATCCACATGCCCATCTTCCTCCTCCTTCCTCCTCCTCCTGCTCAATCTGAACATCGTTTAGCCGATTCCCATCCCCTCTGGCGTGGCCTGGGCCCCACTGGCCGATTTACCCCCCGAGATACGGATACCGGGTGTGGTTGCTCCTTTCGGGTTCCGAGGGGCACGTCTTCACCTGGGGTGCTGGGACGGTGGGGCTGAGATACCATGATCAGATGGGGATGGGGATCGGTGAAGCAATGCTGACAATGATCCCTCGTTCTGGCCATCGCTCGGACGTCCATTCCCTGTTTTTTTAGGTTTCGTGCGTGGTGTTTTCGCCAAATGATCAAGGATGCTCCTCGATGGTCCTCGCCGAAGGAAAAATGCACACGTCCGAGCGATGCCAAGCGTTTCGTGAGCAGCAGCAGCAGCAGCAGCAGCAGCAGCAGTGGACTCCTCCAGCGGCGGCGCCCTGGCCCTGGCAGCTGGCGCCGCCATCGCGCGAACGAGCTCCTCGCGCAGGTCGCTGCGCACCCCGGCGCGGAGCTCGCTCAGGCGGACGTCCAGCAGGTCCTCGCGAAGGGGCTCGATGCCTCCGCCTCCTCCTCCTCCTCCGCCTCCTCCTCGTCCTCCTCCTCCGCCTCCTCCTTCTCCGCCTCCTCCTCCCCACCACAAGATCATCGTCGTCATCAGTGTCATCAGCAGCATCAGCAGCACTCATACTCGACAGCATCGACAGCAGCATCATCATCAGCATCATGATCATTATCGTCATCTGCAGCAGCAGCATAAGCAGCAGCAGCATCATCAGCATCGTCATCAGCATCAGCATCAGCATCAGCATCAGCATCAGCATCATCATCATCATCATCATCATCACCACCATCATCATCATCATCATCATCATCATCATCATCATCATCATCATCATCATCATCATCATCTGCAGCAACAGCATTATTACCATCAGCAACATCATCAACATCATCGTCATCATCAGCATCATCAACATCATCATCACAGCATAATCATCATCATAATCAGCAGCATCATCATACTCATCATCACGAACAGCATAAACAGCATCAGCCTCATCATCATCATCATCATCAGCATCAGCATCATCATCATCATCATCATCATCATCATCATCATCATCATCATCATCATCATCATCATCATCTGCATCAGCATCACCAATATCATCATCAGCATCATAAGTATCATCATCAGCATCACCATTATCGTCGTTGTCGCCATCTGAATCAGCATCGGAATCAGCATTAGCATTAGCATCAGCATCAGCATCATCAGCATCAGCATCATCATCAGCAGCATAAGCATCATCAGCATCATCAGCAAATTCAGACTCGTCAGAATCATCATCATCATCAACACCATCATCAGCAGCATCATCAGTGGCAGCATCATCAGCATCATCAGCAACATAATAATCATCAGCATCATCAGCATCAGCATCCTCGTCGTCGTCATCGTCATCATCATCATCATCATCATCATCATCATCATCATCACCCTCGTCGTCATGAGCAGCATCAGCCTCGCCATAAGCATCATCACCAGCATCCACATCGCCATCATCATCACCATCAGCATCATCGTCATCATCAGCATCGTCATCACACGATGTATCATCACTACAGTCATCATCAGCATCCTCATAATCATCATCAGCAACATCAGCATCGTCATCGTCATCGTCATTGTCGTCGTCAGCATCGCCATCATCTGTATCGCAATCGTCATCACAAGCAGCGTCATCATTGACATCAGCAGCATCAGCAGCATCATCACCATCGCTTATCATCGCCGCCACCATCATCAACGCCATCACGATAGGTACCATAATCACCACTGCCAGCATCGGCATCATCAGCAACATCAACATCAACATCATCACACTCATCACCACCACCACCGTCACCAACATGCAATTCAACATCACCATCGCCTTCTCATCATATGCATCATCATCATCATCATCAGCATCACCATCGGCATCATCATAATCATCATCGCCACCAGCATCATCACCACCACTTGCATCATCATCGTCACCATCATCCTCCTACTCCTCCTACTCCTCCTCCTCCTCCTCCTCGACATCGTCATCAGAACTATCAGCATCAGCAGCATCATCATCACCATCACTTGCATCATCATCATCATCAGCATCATTAGCATCATCATTAGCATCATTAGCATCAGCACCATCAGCATCCTCATGAACATCATAAGCGCAACCATCATCAACAACAGCACCAACAACAACATGATAAGATTCATCATCAGTATCGTCATCTGTCTCCGACTCTCCTCTTCTTCCTCCTCCTGATGATCCTCCCCCAGCGACTGCGATATTGCCACTGCTGCTGCTGCTCCGCCTCCCCCAGCTCCTCGATTCCAACACCGCCATCAAGGTCGTCATCGTCATCCTCGGGTGCGCGCAGCCAAAAGGAGGTACCCTCAATGGCGAGCGGACGAGGAGGAGGAGGAGGAGGAGGAGGCCAAACGGAGGCAGGAAGGGCGGAGGAAGGAGGAGGAAGGAGAACGTAAGAGAGAGAGAGAGAGAGGGAGGGAGGGAGGGAGGATGGGGCGGAGGAACAGGCGGAGGAGGATGGAGACAGACGATGCACCCCCGCTAGGCAAAGCCAATGCAACGTAAAAGGAGGGAGGAGGAGGGGGACAGGCTAGGTGTGTTCGCGGCATCTCTAACATCCTACCCCTCCCACCCTCCCATTCCCATTGCGCCGACTGCTTCTCTATCCGCCGCGGGTGCCATAGCGGATCATGGCCCCCCTGGAAGGACACCACCGTGTTTTGCGCAATCAGAAATTGGGAGCTGCATACACTGCAGGGGGAAGAGGACAATGAGGAAGAACGACAAGGAGGAACAGCAGCGAGGGGTAGGAGAAGGAGAGGGAGAAGGAGAAGGAGGAGGAGGCGGAGAAGGAGGAGGAGCGATCCCCACACGACCCCCCGCGAACGCACTGGAATCCCTCTCTCTGCCCCGACAGGTGCTCGCTCAGGCCAAGGCGGGCGACGGGCCGCCGCGCATCCTGCAGCTCGTCCACCTCGCTGCGCCACCAGCCCAGGGAGGCCTGGCGTGGTGACCGCCGCGCGCGGCGGCACGACGCCGCGGTCTCCCCCCTCCCCTCGTCCTCCTCCCCATTTGCCCCACCCTCCTCGCCTTCCTGTTCCCCCCTCCTACTCCCCCCCCCTCCTCCCCCGCATACCTCCACTGCCTCTCCTCTCCTCCTCTGCCCTCCTCTCTCTTCCCCTCCTGTTCCCCCCCCCCTCTCCACGCCCCCCTCACCCACCTCCTCCCCTCTTGGTTCGGACAACAGCGGAGAAGCCCGGGGCTGGGAAACAGTCGACAACCAACAAAAACGTCCGAAAACCATCCCTTGGAGAAGGGCTCCCTTCCAGGAACATGTTTCCTCATGGCGACGAGCCTTCCCCGCGCGAGCGCCCCCCTCCGCGCGCGGAGCGCGAGGGCAAGTCTTCGACGACAGCCCAGGGGGCTCGTGTAGGGCTCAAGGACGCCGAAAACTTCCAGGACCCCTTTCGAAGAGGGGATAACGTTGAGGGGGGGTGGCAAATCAAGCTGGTTTTCCCGGCGTTTCCCGGCGCCTGGAGGCACCACGGCATCAAGTAAAGTCGCCTGGCGGCGGGGCCGAAACCAGCTGCTAGCTAATTCCAGGACCCCTCTCCTCAAGAGACCTCTCCTCCAGGGACCTTCGCGCTGCATGGCGACGGCCCAGACATCTGACGATGTGATTTCTGAAATGCGCGGCCACACAGATCCCGACCCCATCCCCGGGCGTAGACTTTCATCCCGAGTCCATGTTTGATGGTCCCGGTGCCCGTAACCGGGCCGAAAGCTCAAACCGAGGAAACACGCCAGGACTGAACGAAAAACAAATCGCTGGCGATATTGCGACAAAGTCCTCCACGAATGAACTTCCCGTGGACTAGTAATTCATACCGAGTCGATTCTGACGGTGCCAGATCCCAGCGAAAGGCGGAAATCTAAAATATAGACGTAGCACCCCGCAGATGCGGATAAGAGTGAAGGGGCGGTGGGGACGTCAGCAGTCTGCGAGACTCTGGAGAAGCCCGCCGCAGGCGCAAACATTTTACAAATTATGCAACGAGTCCACCGCAGGCGCCAATTTTTTTCAAACCAATGTGGATCGGTCGCGAGTGGGTCGCGGGTGGGTCGCGGGTGGGTCGCGGGGTTGGTCGCGGGGTGGGTCGCGGGTGGGTCGCGGGTGGGTCGCGGGGTGGGTCGCGGGTAGGTCGCGGGGTGGGTCGCGGGTGGGTCGCGGGTGGGTCGCGGGTTGGGTCGCGGGTTGGGTCGCGGGTGGGTCGCGGGTGGGTCGCGGGTGGGTCGCGGGTTGGGTCGCGGGTTGGGTCGCGGGGTGGGTCGCGGGGTGGGTCGCGGGGTTGGGTCGCGGGTTGGGTGCGGGGTGGGTCGCGGGTGTGTCGCAGGGGGGACGACGACAACAAACAACAACAACAACAACAACAACAACAACAACCACCACCACCACCACCACCACCACCACCACCACCACCACCACAACCACAACAACAACAACAACAACAACAATCACTAGCACTGGGGACACTCCGTTCTCACCAGTGCCAGGGTTTTCATCGGAGGCGGGCAATACCCCCACTTTGTGGGGGGGCCGGTTCAAGCTCTACCACATTTCCAAACGACTCTTCGCCACCACCCACACCCAGCTTCCCGCCCTATGACGTTCGGACACCTCACTTCGTGGCCTGCGGACGACCTTGGCTACTACACTGGCGCATGGGTACAATGACTTGTTGTGGTAACATTTTCTGTAAGCTAGCTTAGTATACGACTTTTCCCCCTGCAATTGAAGATTTCGGCGTGCGCGCGCGAAGAAAAAACGAATGTGTCCCATATGGTATTATTTGACAGGGATGATGGCCCTGGCAGGCGCGCAACCTTGTTGCAGAAGTTCGAAGCACGTGAAAAAGTTGCTCGCAAGAGCCCGTTTGACAGAAATGTTGAAAAAGTATTGGGTTTCCTAAGAAATCCGCAAGAGCGCGCGGGGTGAATTTTTGAAACCCTTTTTTTGAAAAACCATTGGGTTTTTCATGTTTTTATGTGAAAATCGCTACGAAGACTAAGGTTTTGGAAGGATTTCGTCTTGCGCGCGCGAATGTGCACTTCGTGTCATTTTTTGCAAGGGATTCTTGAAGTTTGGTCATGTTAGAACAAGAAATGTCCACTTTGCCATATTTTTTGCAAGGGAAAACCGATCGTAACAACACAACCGGATCCGGACACCCACGTTTTGCCTGAGACTTCCTCACGAAAATGATGAAAATGTGGCTGCGGCCTAGGCGCGGCGGGGGGGGCGCGCACCAGGGGCCCCAACAATAATTATTCTTTAGAATTAATAATGTTCAACAATAACAACAGCAGCAGCAACAACAACAACAAGAACAACAATCATTTTAACACTGTTCGCCCTTATCTGCTCGAGTGTCCAATAACGCGTATTTCCCAAACCCTCGATACCCGCCCTCTCCGTCTTCGATCGAACCCCTTTTCGGGGGTATACCTTTCTTCCCTGCAGGCCGGGCCCCGGCAAGCGGCGGGGCGGCCGCGGACCGTCGGCCTGGCCAGCGGCAGCGCTGATCGGCGGGGCGGCCGCGGACCGTCGACCCGACCCCCAGAGGGACGGACAGGGGACCGACCACGACGAGGACGACGACGACGACGTCGACGACGACGGCGACGACGACGACGACGACGACGACGACGACGACGACGACGACGACGGCGACGACGACGACGACGACGAGCGAAAGCGAGAGCGAGAGAGAACGACAGCAGGGCCACGAAGGACACGAAGTAGGCCACGAAGGGCGACAGCGGGGACACGAAGGGAATGCGTATGGGGCCACGAAGAGCGCGAACGAGCGGGGGCCACGAAAGGCAGATAATGCGGGGCCACAGAAGGCAACGATGGGGCCACTGAAGGTAGCAATTGGGCCACGTAGGACATGGAGGGGGCCACACACGGCGACAGCGGGGCCACGAAGGGCATGCACATGGGGCCAAAACCGGCGCGAACGAGCGGGGGCCACGAAGGGCATACGTATATTGGGCCGCGGAGGGCAAGAACGGGGCCACTGAGGGCAGCAACGGGGCCACGAAGGGCAGCGAGGGGGCCACGAAGGGCGACAGCGGGGCCACGAAGGGCATGCATATGGGGCAACCACAGGCGCGAACGAGCGGGGGCCACGAAGGGCATACATATATGGGGCCACGAAGGGCAGCGAGGGGGGCACGAAGGGCCGCAACGGGGCCACGAAGAGCAGCGAGGGGGCCACGAAGGGCTGCAACGGGGCCACGAAGGGCTGCGACGGGGCCACGAAGGGCAGCGAGGGGGCCACGAAGGGCTGCAACGGGGCCACGAAACAAAGCGAGGGGGCCACGAAGGGCTGCAGCGGGGCCACGAAGGGCAGCGAGGAGGCCACGAGGGGCTGCAACGGTGCCACGAAGGGCAGCGAGATCCTAGGTAATCTGTGAGGGAATCCTAAAAGCGTGAGCGCGACTCCTGGGTGCCTGGGTGTCGGGAGCGCGGCGCTTGAGTAAAGTGCAAGAAAGTCCAACGCAAGGGCGCTATTCTATGGTAAATTGCAAAAAAGTCTCCAGCGAAAGCGCGACTCCAGAGCGCCGGGAGAGCGATTCCCGAATAGATTGTAAAGAAGTCCCAAGCGAGAGCGCGATTCCTGAATAAAATGCGAGGAAGTCTCGGGCGGGAGCGGGGGTCCAGGCTAAATTGTAAGGAAGTCTCAAGCGGGAGCCGTGGTCGTGGGCCAGTTTGAACAGGAAGACCTTCTTTGACAAAAAAACAAAGTGCAAGCCCCAAGGGGGGGGCACTTCAATTGAAAAAATCAATGTGCACGGCGGGGGATCAACAATAATTATTCTTCAAGAATGAGAGTTCTTCAACAACAACAACAACAACAACAACAATCATTTTACCCGAACGCTCAGTGTTCTCACCAGTGCCAGGGTTTTCATACGACGCCCGCCAATACCCCCACTTTGTGGGGGGGCCGGTTCAAGCTCTACCAAATTTCCAAACGACTCTTCGCCACCACCCACACCCAGCTTCCCGCCCTATGACGTTCGGACACTTCACTTCGTGGCATGCGGACGACCGTGGCTACTATTCAGGGCCCCGCGGGCGACGACGGCGTGCGCGCGCGAAGAAAAAACGAATGTGTCCCGCATGGTATTATTTGACAGGGATGATGGCCCTGGCAGGTGCGCAACCGTTGTTGCAGAAGTTCGAAAAAGTTGATCGCAAAAGCCCGTTTGACAGAAATGTTTAAAAAGTGTTGGGTTTCCTGCAAATCCGCAAGAGCGCGCGGGATGAAATTGTGACACTTTTTTTTTTTTAAACAAAAAAAAAAAAATGGTTTTTTGATGTTTTTATGTTGAAATCGCTACGAACACTAAGGTTTTGGAAGGATTTCGTCTTGCGCGCGCGAATGTCCACTTTACCTTATTTTTTGCAAGGGATTCTTGAAGTTTGGTTATTTTAGAACAAGAAATTTCATTTTATAGTGTTTTTTGCAAGGGACAGCGGGGGGGAACAAAACAACCGGATCTTGATGACATCGTATTACCTGAGGCTTCCTCACGAAAATGATGAAAATGTAGCTGCGGCCTAGGCGCGGCGGGGGGGCGCGCACCAGGGGCCCCAACAATAATTATTCTTTAGAATAAAAATAATGTTCAACAACAATTACTAGCACGTGGGGACACTCCGTTCTCACCAGTGCCAGGGTTTTCATAGGAGGCGGGCAATACCCCCACTTTGTGGGGGGGCCGGTTCAAGCTCTACCAAATTTCCAAACGACTCTTCGCCACCACCCACACCCAGCTTCCCGCCCTATGACGTTCGGACACTTCACTTCGTGGCATGCGGACGACCGTGGCTACTATTCAGGGCCCCGCGGCCGACGACGACGGCGTGCGCGCGCGAAGAAAAAACGAATGTGTCCCGCATGGTATTATTTGACAGGGATGATGGCCCTG